TAAAAAAAAAAAAATATATATATATATATATATATATATATATATATATATATATATATATATATATATATATTGCTTAAATACAATGTTTTTTAAAGGTACAAACATACCAGCTAGCAAACATCTAATTCTTAAAAATATAATTATAATTTAATTTGATGCTTGATGCTGATGCTTGGGCAATTTAGGATCAAACAGAGAAATTAATGTGCCGGGAAAGAGATATCCTCAAATCCTATTATTGTGCATATAATAACATAAAGCAACCAGACCTAAAGCAGATATTTTCATTTAAAACAATAAATCAAATGACCATAACTCATGTTGACAAGTACCGCAATTTAGCCCTTTTGGTCATGCTATATATCATTTCCGCAGGAAGTTATCAAACTTTTGATATGTATCATATCTTCTCTAAAGGGACACATTGGGTTAATCATAGAGGCGGAACCTTTTTTTGCCCCCAGTGAAATACTTTTCCACTGCAAATGAAAGGCCCACGCCGTCAGTATCAAGAAGCCGAAACATCGGATTTTTTTCAGTATAATTTCATTTTTTTTATCTCAAAATGAAACTCCGAACGTTATGAGCCTATTTGTTTTTAACATAGCACAAAGACCCTGACACGTTAAAAACACAAGTAACACAACATTACAAAGGCGATGTTGATACCAATAATGATATGTTAGATTCAGAAAAATCCAAGATTTGAACAAAAACTGGTCTGTAAGTGAACCAAACCCAAACCCCTAGGAAAATAATTCTGTGACAGCTAATTGCTTATGGGTAATATATTTAATGACGATAAATATAGAATTAACCCGCAGACTTATTTCACGTTCTAGGGCATACATTGGTATCCAGGCGTCTACAGTTTACTCAGATTGCAGTTTATTTACATGCATCATATACACCAAGTTGAAGCCGTATCGATTTCCCAGTTGAGTACTTTTAAACATTTAAGGAAATGCGCATGATAATTCACAATGCTGGAGGATGAGACATAGAGATGTAAAAAAATGTCCTAAATATAAAGTAACAACGCTTTACTTAATAATTCTGGCTCAGTTGAGTACAGGTGAGTTCCTTCAATCTTCCCAGCCAATCTCACCGCACCCAATTGATATTGAATCACCGACAGCAAAGTATTAGTAACATACATTATCTATATATCAACTATATTCCTGGTCTGAACTGTTTAAAGGTTAATCTAAGTAAAATAGAGCAGAGATGAATTAATTATTTTTATGACTTAATACAGCCTAAATACGTTGAATTTGAGCTATCTATTGCCTTTCTACTCTGTCACTATTTGCCGTGAATGTAACATTTTAAACCAACGAGCAGCGAGTAAGATATCACTTTCCATTGATTAAGCATGTGAACATCTTGCAGTTGTTTTAATGAGCTGTTAACATCATTATTTTCTTTTCATCATTTTAGCTCCAGGGTCGACCGCGGCTGTGCCGAATATGCTCTTAACCTTTAAACAATTCAATTATAATAATAATAACAAAGATTCATCGTTATGTTTTTATATATTATGCACCAGTTGTTGATATGCCAAAGTTATTTATTATCATTATTGACGTAATGATTATAATATAAAAAAAAACACAGAGAAAAATAAAGAAAAACCGCTCTGTTTATGGAAATCTAGCTGAAAACAATAGACCTCCATACAAAACGAAAACTTAATAGTCATAATGACGATGGAACTGCATCTAATGGGAATATTATCGCTTTGCTGTTTTATGTGGCGACTCTATAGCATGTTCACATCAATTGTAGACCGTTATCAACCAGAGTAAAGCCCCACAGTTAGAGGTTAATATTTCAAGAATGCAATTAGATGACCAACACAACAGATCGGTTGAGAATATAAATACACAAGTCGTTGTCAACGCTGTTTCGGTTTCATTGCTTCAAATGCTTCAATATTTTCGTTTTCTTTATCTTTTTTTCTTTTTGTTTGCAATTTGCTTATGAGATCTCCCTTTTTTATTTTTGCTTTTATGGAATTAAAAAGATAAAATAAGACCCAACTTGCTTGGGTGAATTTAACATGACAGCTAACACACGGTCTTTGAATATTATGACATGTCGTTTCCGTGTTGAGATAATAGTTGTCACACTTCCAGCCAACGTATTACCATGACATAATAACCATACCTTGGTACCAACTTATAGATAAAGGTAATCCAAATGCCTTTCTGTTTTGCAATGCTTTTGAAAGCTGAAGTCTAAGTATGCGATTTTTTATTGCGTTGCCAGTAATATTTTATGACAAGAAGTATAAAACATCTTACACCAGCATATTTTTATCAGTAATACAAATGCTGTAGAATGATATTGCTTCCAGCTCAATCTTCAAGACCAGCTCAGGTGCTAGTGATAAGAGGATAAGAGGATACGCTTTAATTGGGGTTCTTGTTAATGACGTTTTCCTCGTCTGTCATATAATTTATTTAAGAAAACGTACTAGGTATTAATTCTACAGTGCATATTTCATTTTATATGTACGATGTCAAAGGAAATATCCTCCCCCTTGAAAATGTCAGACATCCTAGGCTTTTGCCCGGTGGTTTTGGTGCTGACCTTCAAGCAACAGATATTCGTATGTGCAGCATGATATAATGCAGAATCAAATTTCATGTTAAATGCAGGCTTCTCTAAATATTTTGATATTCTGCCCCTCAGTGCAGTTTTCTCAAAAAACATTCTCAGGTTTGCGTTGAATCCGTCTTTTTGCTTGATAAGAGTATATTATGAATAAGTTATCTATGTTATTCGCTAATTGGCATATCTTTTGTGTATTTCGTTCTTAAAGCTAATATTGAAAACCTTATACCAAGTCCAAAATCTACATCTTTGAGGTTTTTAAAGAAACGAAGACCTACGAATATTAAAGTATGATGTACATATTTATTTATATAAATCTTTGTTTGATTGTCAAAATAGTCAAAACATCCATTTTTTTCAAGACGCATTCCTGAATAATATATCCACCCTTCCCCTAAAAATCAAATACATACAATGTAGGATAAATTTCTCGTGTCCAGATATGTGATAAAAGTGATATGAAAACTTACCTTTATAAATATGAATTTCAATTCTTTTCTTTTCTCAGTAGATCTAGTCTATTTTCCAGTGCCAGTAGGTATGAAAATCAATTTGCTGGGAGACGGTTCAGCATCAAATTAAATATTTATGCACATGCAATTGCCTTAATGGAAAAATGTGCTGTGCATCATGGGAAGAAAAATGCGCTGTGGACGACACCTATTAGGATTTTACAAAAGCTCTCTGTCCATACAGGAAGATATTTTTAACTACTGCAGCAATGACAAGAGGTAATAAATGCGTGGCGTTTATTATAAAGAAATCACATTTTAATTAAAATAGGCACATACAATGCTTAAGTTAATCGAAAATTTTTGTGATCCGTACCTATAGGCCTATGCATTATAGGCGTAGATCAGTCCTGTAAGATCACCCAAAGACAATCCATAACAACGTAATTAATTTGATCTATGAGCATTTCATTCATTTTACAATTCTTCTTCTTCTTCGTTAATAATTTTAAGTTTTTTTAATTTAAATTTACTTTTAGTTCATATTTCATTTTTAAATGTATTATCATTATTATCATCATTTGCTGTCCCTGGCGTGACGTAAAATACGCGACATCTGAACGTCGTGCGCGTGATAGGGGCGTTTGACTTTCTCGCTAACAACATGGGGGCGGTCATTTCACGTAGATCTAAATCAACGAAAATAAAGTCAATTTCTCTAAATAGCAAGAAAGACAATCTTATACTTGAACACCTTGACGATTCCGAGTTGAAAAATGACAACATTGGAAGCGGTGGTAACGGCACTAGCTCCGAAGAGGTCGCCGATGAAAAAAAGTCAGCGCATAATTTCGAGCAGATTGATGCGGCGAACATGGAAGATGATGAGACTGAGGAGGATGAACAGGATATTGCGTGTGGAGAAACATGTCACCCCCGTCGTCCGCTGCAGGTTGACTCAAGTCCGTACTTGGAACCTTTGACCTATGTACACTCACCGCTATCCATGTCAGGCAAGTAAACCGAATTTAGCATAGATTTTAGCTTTGATGATTAGGCCTACTGAAGCAATTTGATCAAATGTAGATCTACACCGAAGACTTAGCCTATAATCATAACATGACTAGAGCTTAATGACCACGAAATATTACGCAACATTTTACTCTCATGTTCAATAGGATCTACGTTTCTTTGAGTAAAACGTCATTTTATTTACGAACCCTAGGGTAGTATGCGAGTTTCTTTTCATCAAATTTCGAGTAAAATACTTTAATCATTCTTGAATTATTTGGAATTTTAAAGAAATGAGAAAACCAATAATTGCCAAGTTCTGGCCAAAAACTTGGAACGACATAGTGATTTTGAAATATGATATGCAGTTTAAACTTTCTGAATCTATCACAAGGCATATTTTAGGTAGTGCAAAATCTTCGGAGGACCAAATCCTCAAAAAGTTAAGAGAGGAAAATGTTATCGGACCACCACGAAGCAGTTTCAAGCGAAGCAACGAAATATTAGACAGACTCCATTCGGTAAGTATGGGGCAGTGTTACAACTACTAAAAAGATGCATGCATTTACCGCGATATATCCATACTGCCTTAGATGTAAAAAAATAAGAAAATGTTTCCGGTCATGGGAATAGAATTGGGTGAATTTTTTTAATCTGCATAAAAAGAAAAGAAAATATTGCGGTTATATCGGACAAATTTGATAAATTGGTTGACGCAGCCGAACCATATTTTGAGAAAATCATTTTTTTTCGCACTCAATTCATTTCCAAAGACTTCAGAATTTTAGATAAGGACAATAACCAAAATAACAAAAGCAGTGCAGTCTCTTCGTTTATTTACATACCTGAAACAAACTGGCATTTCTTTCGTGCAAGGTTTAAATGAAAGCCAAAAGACCATAAGCTGAAAACACTAACACCTTCAATCCATCACGATTCTATATATTTGCATTATTCTTCGGTTTAGTAACTGACACCAACGCATAAGATCTTTTCGCATCGAGCTGTGTACTTTAGTGACAAGTCTGTACCGGTACACTTTGAGAGGTCTTAACACGCCGTCTCTCAAAGTGCGCCCGACAGAATGTACCGCTAAAATGTAACACTCAATGTGAAAAGAGCATACACATGTAAGATTTATCTATGTAAAATTACCAATCAACATCTGTAAAATGCAGAATGTATTTCTACAAGTATCTTTGTCAAATAAACTAAATATAAATATGATCTTTCAGGAAGGGATTCTAACTTCGTCTGGTATGACTCAAGATGACAGCAATGCTGGCAGCAATACAAGCCTATCACACCAACGACGGCGACCACACATTTTACCCAAGCTGAATGCTCATAAATACAGCTCTCTCCATAATATAGAAGATAACAAGGAGAAACAGACTCCATCTAGTGCTGGTGCAGACATATAAACATGTATCCATATTACACGCACATGTAATGCAGGACAACACAGGATGAAGTTACTAGTGATTCAAAGAAATTTTTTAATTAAAAATGAAAGTTGGAGTGTATGTTACAGTGGATCTTGTAGCAAAAAATAAGTGAATGAAACCAAATTAGCAGAGTTCTCAAACCATTCATCTTTAGCTAGATGCATCAGTTCTGCTGCAAGATCCTAATGGTTACACTGGAACTGGCACAACATACAACATCAAATGTCACTACACTGAGTTGATGGAAAAGTTCATCTTTTCACTGCAGGTTTTTCCTCCCTTTCACTCTCTTCTTCAAAGCCGAGAGAAGACCAGTCTGGTATAACGCCAGTTTCTTGGAACTGTTCTCTTGAGAGTGATCGATTTTGAAGCACCTCCAAAGCACCAAACATTGCACCTGTAGTACAAAGTGATTTTGGATAAACATATTCACATCAGTTCCCAAATAAAACATAAACAATTAAATATGTATAGTATTTTTGAAAAATGTAAATAATAATAATGTATACACTGAATACTGTAGAAATGTACTTAATTGGGAATATATACCAAATGTTTTTATTTATTTTTTAAAATAATAATTATATAACAAACTGTATCCTCACCTCCCAGCCATGCTGCATAATTCTCCTTACATGGAAGTTGATGGAATTTAAAATTCTTGATGGCTAGTTGTTGCTTGTATTTGTTCTTGCTCAGGAGGTCATACAACTCACTCTGTAGTCTGTGGAGAAAACCAGGCAGCATAGCTGTTCCACCCATTATCACTATATTCTCTGCCAGAGTTTTCCTCATATCTATAGTACACTGGAATATCAAATAAAAAAAAAATTAAATTATTTTTTGATAACCAAGTACAAGTTTTTCATCATTTCAAATGAGCTTCATCACAATTAGACTATTTAACCAATTTGAAAGTATTGGTACATCTTACCTTTATAATAGAATCCAATATTAATGTGGCCACCGATTTTTCTTCATTGTCTTGCTCAAACAAAACCTCACAGGTATTTTCCCTTGATAACAATAATGATGAATCAATTTTTTTACAAAATTATTCAAATTCAAAGGCAGAAAAATATGTGCAACTGTATTTATCCATCTTTCTTTCATAACAGATAAGTGCATTTCATTTACTAAAAGTATGATGATACTGACAAAGGAACAAAATGTGTCTTGATCAGACTACAAAGTCTGTGGTTCAACTTTAATGTCTTTTTTTTCCTAACTCTGATTTCAAATATTTGACATAATATTGAGTTTTTTTCACATAATATATTTGAATCACCTTATCTTTCCTTCAATGTGAAGTATTTTATCTCCATCTAAAGGATACTCTACATCAGGTGGAGGTTTAGGAGCCTGCAAGTAACATGAAAAACACCACAGTGAGAAAGAAGTCAAAATTTGTTTAAAGAAACTGCTACATTTCAACAGCCATACTGCTACAAAAATAACTAAACGTGGAATTTCCAATAAGACTTTCAACACAAATTTTAGTGCACATTACAAACTGTTTTGAATTCCAAACTGTGTGTTGTCTATTTACCTCAACTCTTGATTCTCCTGTTAGCCCACTCTCTTGTAGCATAAACTTCTGGATCTGCTTGGCACGCTCCATCTTGGTTACAAAACAACACCGCACTGGAATGGCAGACAAGGTATAACAATTCATAATTTAATAAAATTAATAAATATTAATAAATAATTTAATAAAATAATTTAATAAAATAGTGCTTTCTATTATGAACTTAACTATTTCAAAAACATCTTGGTTCTGAGCACATACTCCTTATGACAATTTCAATAGTTTGTTTTTATCATTCAATCATCAAAATTGCTCTTAAAATGCCAAGTAGATATCTTGAACCCTTCAATGTCAATATGGCTGCAAACCCCTTGTAATATCTCAATCTATCAATTACCTCACAATTTAGTATATATAATACTTAAAGTTGCCCTACCCTTGATGTCTTCCAGTATATTTTCAGATAATGAACCTGGAACACATAAATGTGTCAATATAACAGGTGCATACAGTATACTGGTATATACACAGTATTGTATTCAAAAAGTTGAGATTCTTCTTAAGATTTTCATTCTTAGTATGGTCAGTTTTATTGGTAAAATTAAAATATTTCCGCAAGTGACAAAGGTGATTGTGATACACACAACTGTGAATGAAACCTGGATGTCATATATGCCTTGCTGAAAAGAGGCTTGTCTAACTTATATAATGGTAGATGTTGCAATAAATAAATAAATGAATAAATATGGTGGATCTAGCTTTCAGACACAGGTACATGTACATCATATATGGGTCTTTTCTCCTTCACGTTCACTGTAGTATTATTGTATTTACTAACCTACAACAGAGCACAGTTGCCTTTCTTCAGCATCCTGTGTTTTGACAACTGCAGATCCCATTAGTTTGCTCTCTAAATTTCTAAAAAAATATGGTTATGATATTCAGTGTTAAATAAGAGCAATCTATTGTAATCAATTTTATGTTCTGAAGGAAAGTTAACAGATTAAACAGATTGTTTTTATAAATAAAAACACATGTAAAATTTTGTTCATAAATTGTAAGTTATGCTCTGATATTTGTTTTATTTTTATTTTTTGTTTTCTTATTTTACACCAAACTGAAAATATCTCTTGGTAATTTAGCACACAAAATGGTTTTCTATCTGTTTTATACAAATTCTACTGGACACAAATACCTATGTATCGCTTTCCCTCCAAGAGGAATAGCCTCCCATGCTTTCAGGATTGGTATCCCTTCATATATGTAACAGCTGTTAAGGAAACAGAGACCACATTTGTTTATAAATTTTTCAAAATATTGTCTAACAAAATGGATAAATGGTCTTTATATCATACATTTTAACCATACTGACAATTTAGATTTCTTGACGCTGAAAACACAGAAAAACTGTGACATTTGAAACAAATCCTGTTCAGGAAATTTCAACAGAATGACTTTAAAGGATATGGGTAATACAAATGTTTCTGTGAACCCAGCATCCATGACGAGACCTGATGAGATTCCAAGTGTGAACAGGGAAACCAGATGAGTGGGAGCATAGAGAATGGAAGGAACCTGGAAAACAGATTAAATAACATGTTTTCAGTAAAATTCAAATCTATTAAAGATTCATCCCTGGTGAAATTCTGTTTTTATAGTTTAGTGATTGACTTTATCACTAAGATTTAAATAAGACTTAAAGTTTTTTTCACTGCATACATTTTATACTACAAACCTCATAATGCTCAAATAGTACTTTTGCCAATGTGTCTCTGAATACAGTGGGTGTTAGGAGAGACTCACACACCACCACACGCCTGTCTTTAGGATTCACCAGCACATGTCTGAAAGAAAATAGATGACTGAATACCAAAAAATGCTCTTGCAAAAAAAAAAAAAAATAAATAAAATTCTGTAGCTCCATTAATACATTAAAAATATAAAAGCACATGCCCTGTTTCCTACAAATATTGTATAACCTAATTCTAAATTCATTTGAAACAAAAATATTTTATTTCTTGTAACTGCAATTTTGTTACTGTGGCCATTAAAAAACTATAATCAAAATCAATGTTGACCAGTGCAGAGATATACATTGAAATCATCAGAGGAACTACATGAACTCCAACATACATGTATAATGTTCTTTGTTAGCACTCACCTGAAGTACAGCATGTGTATAAAATCAACCAGAATTTCGTAAAGTTCTTCTTCTGTGTTATACTGATGGACTTTTACAACCTAAAATATAATTAATTTGAATAAAATAAAGTTTAAGTACACAAAAATATTAGTCCTGTTTTACATGACCTTCTTAATTACAAGATATCATGCTTCTTATTAGTGTTTGTAGCGGCAACTAGTAACATGATATCAGGCACACAGCTAGCTTTAAAGTATGTTAGAAGCAGTAACATTCTTGAGAAATACAGGGAAAATGGATGATGTTATCCCGAATTTTCACAATGCCTTTACTTGGATATATCATGTTCACATGTTTGCATCCATCATTTAATTTATCAATCAGTTGGTTTTTTAATGCATAGATTAAAAATCACAAAGAGAAAAGCTTAGGGTTGGACTGGTTGTTGATGCATGGTACTGAGCTAAAATGACATGCTGTTTTTCTGTTCAGTGACTGACAATCAAGTTTTCACATATCAGTACCTGTCCACTTCTTGATCTCTTTATTTCACTAGGCACAATACATCTTGGTGCTGTCTCACCACTGAAACCACACCTGGAATGAGAGATACATGAAATCTAACATGTTAAATGTACTATATTTTCACCTTGTGTTACTAATTCTGGTGATTGAAAACAATGATTGGTTTTCAATTTCCATTGAGTTAACAATCCCTCCTGCAAAAAACTGAAAAAAAAAGCAATCTTTTAACCATAAAACACCAATGTTTATAAACAGTAAAATGAAAGAGAAACCCTCTATATTATAAATATATTATAATCACAGAAGGAACCGTGTACTTACTTGTACATGTACCACAATGCATGTCGTATGAGAACTTCAGAGGAACAATTAACCTGCGTGGTTTTACTTTTAGCACACTTCAGATATCGTTACATGTTACAAAGTGTAACATTGCCATGGTGCCTCTAAGCGACATACGCCTTTCAGTTTCAATAAAACACGTAAATAACATAGCATTTAACACAGAAACGTATGTCTCCCAATCAATCTTTGAGAAATTGAGAATTTGAGGCGGGGAGTAACCTGCAAAATACGTACGCAGAAACTTATTAAACCACGATGATATTAACAATGTTTTCACTTACTTTGTGTAAGCAGTTCCAATGTCTATGATCACTGCATTTTTGTCACCAGCATAAGAAATCCCTTCATACAGTGGCATTTTGTGCTCTCAGCAGGTTTAACTGACGTGAAACTTCAGGAAGTTCTTCTCCGCAATTTGAAGGCAGGAATCGAGACAACTTATTAACTTCCTGTGCAAGCGGCAAGTATGAGGCGTCATTAGTTACATAAATTTTTCTACACTGCAATCTTATCTTCTTGTTACTTTTTTGAGGAAATTGTTTGGGTGAGTTTTAAATTTGCATTAGTATTGAGAGATAAGTCAGTCAATACCAAACAGTGAAAATATTATCGAAATACTAAGTCAAACTTGGTCGTTTTTGATCAGTTAAGTATATTGACTTTGATCAATGCCTCTGCTTTTCATATCAGATAAGTTTTGAAAATGTAGACTATACACTAGTTTTTTTTTTAAGTTTTTGCAAGAGACTTATAAACTTCTACCAAGGAGATTATGGCAGATATTCACCCCAGAAATAACCTGTACTTTAATGGGTTAAAAGTTTCTCCTAAAAACATCGAAAGTAAATTGTCGATCTAATTAATTTTAATAGTAAAGAAATTGATCAAAATCACTGTATAATTGAATTTAGATAAAAAATACATAAACAGAGACTTATGCATAGGTTGGAAGAAGGAATACTGAAAAATTACTGGTTTTTCCTTGATTCTTTTTTAAGTCAATTTTATTTCTTAGGTTAGCAAAATGTCTATGAATTATCATGGTAGACTTCATAGCCACATTACCCCATGAGTTGGCAGAGAAAATCCTTTCATATCTCACTGCATCAGAGCTTAGTAAAGCTGGATGTGTGAATAAGCTATGGAGGGAAAAGACAAGTGGAAGCTCTTTATGGTAAGTAAATTTGAAGACTACCATGGAAAGTTTATTTATTTTCATGGATTTCAAAATACCTGTATGTTCATGTAAAGTGTATGTTAAATGTAAATGTTATTGTCATGGTTACATATACCAACTGACATCATCAGTTTCATACAGTATGGAGTCTAAAGTTTTCAAAGACAGAATTATACCCTGAATTTCAGAGGACACTGAGAACTTACATGTACATTTGTACTGTACCTCGTCTTATATTTCTAAAATGGGATAGGCAGGCAGGCCCTGTAAGTCAGGGTGTATTACAGTGGAGACTACAGTTTTTCTAGATTCAGCCTTAATTATCATTAAGGTTTACCTAAGTACACTTTAATGATTCTTTCAAAGCTGTAAATACTGACTTTTTTCTAGGCTCCATCATTGCATGGTTCGAGGATGGTTTAAGTATGGTGTAACCTTTGATCTGTGTTCTGAGAATGTTTCACAGGGTAGCAGCCACTCAATATCAGGGACATCTCCAATATTTGACTTAGAAGGTAATAAGTGAAATGTTATATAGCAGGAAAGATGCCTGTTACTCATTTAACCATTGAAAAATTGAGATTTTGGTATTATAGAAAAATATCACCAAAAGCAAATGAAGTCGAGTGATTGTTATATATTTGATCCCAAGTATATGCACTCTTAATTTGACTTCATAATAGAGATCTTAAGACAAAAGTCTTAGTTTAGCTTAGTTTCAAAAATTATACATTTCTTATTTTCAGTGCCATTAGAGAGTTCTCTTCCACCTATCAAGAAATGGAAAGCTGTTTTTATAAAGACACATCATTTATTACGGAATTGGGAGAAGGGGCGTTACCTGGTGGCTCCCATCCTGAGAGGACACTCTGACCAAGTGTCTGCCTTTGACTCCAATGGTACAATAATATCTTAGATAGATGAATATATATATTTAATTCTGTAATATACAAAATATGATAAATATATATAAATATTGTGCAAAACAGAAGGAATGTTTCATATACAGTAGTATATATATTTTTATGGATTTAACCAGAAAAACAAACATCTTTCATGCGGCCTTGTTTAATGATATCCTTATACACAGAGAGATCTTTCTTCATCAGCTTAATCAGCTTAAAAGAGGAGGCCACAAGATTGATTGTTGAAATTCGAAATTGCTTTACTTGGTTTTCTAATATTATTTTTTATACCATACAATTCAAAGCAAGACCAAACAAACATACTGCAAAGTTATTTTGTTCCATTAAACAAGAGTTTCCCTAAATGACACTGTAATGGTTGATTGCATATAATTTATAATAATTTTTATTTATTCATTTCACATAAAAATCTTAATTTATTGAATAATGAACTGTCCACCTGCATGTAGTTCTAATACTCTAAGTCACAATCTCAAGGTGTGCAGAGCTTGTGAAAAGAAAATGTGTTATTTCATGCAGGTCATGTGTTGGTCAGTGGAAGCTGTGATAGGTCTCTGCGTATCTGGGATCTTCATAAATATGTCTGCCTATTTAAGATAGAAGGACATTCAGATGTGATTACAGCAATAAAATTCAAGGTATTGGGATTTTGTACTTTTTTACACAATTTTTGACCTTTTGCCATATTACCAATTTTATATAATTTAGTAATTAATCAACTTTGTACATGTTTTTATGTTTCTATTTTCTGTCCATTTGTAAAAATATGACAACAAAATTTAATTTATGGTCCATATTTTTCAGTTACAAATCATTTATTTATTTATTCATTTATGTATTATTCCATGTTTATTGAAGTCATCTTAAATGTTTTTTTCAGGGTAACATTATAGTGACAGGTTGTGCAGACAGCGGGATCAGAGTGTACGACTCTACCACTGGTCAGATACTTCAGTCATTCTTTGGTCACACTGGAAGTGTGGACAAGTTAGAATTTGATGGAGAAACTATTATAAGTGTCAGTTCTGACAAGTGAGTTAATTTTAATCATTTTTGCTTTTCACGCTCTACATATAATTTTCATTGAATAAGTTAATGAATTGTTTGATAAAGTCAATTTCATTTCTACATCTTTCCCTTTATAAAAATAGTTCTTTAACATTGTAAGTAAACTGTCGGTGTGTATTTAATAGGACTGTGAGGGTTTGGAGTGTGCCAGATGACAGGCAGATGTACATTTTAAGGGGGCATACTGATGAAATAGAGGTAAGCCACCATTTATTTATACAGAAGTGCTCCTGTTGCACATTCTATAACATTTCTTGGTGGCTTTGTTGGTTAAAAGACAGGTTCTTTTCAAAAATTAGCTTAATTGGATTATTTTGACAATTTTATTATTATTTATTTATTTTTATTTTTATTTTATTTTATTGTTTTTGTTTTTTTTTTGTTTTGTTTTTTTTTTTTTTTGTATACATTGGTATGATGTTTTATCATATTTGTCATATGTATGTAAACTTGCCAGCTCTGCTGTCTAATTTAACTAGGGAGTTTTATTTGATAAAAATATTTGAAAGTTAGCATGTTCAGGTGCTTACTACTGTCATTAGATTTGTTTTGTGCATTTTGTGATATTTGCCCATACGTGCTTAAGCATATTTTTGTTTTACTGTAAATTTACTAGCAAGCTTTGCTTGGTAGGAAAGGCAGGTTAAGTTTGAAATAATCAGGAAGATTTCTCTTCAGCATCTGTCTATTTGCAAGCTTCACTGTATGGCCTTTGTCTAATTTTCAACTGATATCATCAATGTCCCTCAGAATATTTACTGACAACAAAGTGTAATGAGTTAAGAATTTCTTCAGAGTCTCTCCTTGCCTTTCTAGTCTTTGGCAGTGCATGGCTCCCTGGCTCTCACAGGCTCCTGGGACAACACTTTGATTTTATGGAACATAGCTGAGGGACATGGAGTCCACTCTTTGATGGGGCACACTGAAGGTTTGTCAATAAAAACATGAACTTTATACAGTCACTAAAACAGTCTGATGACCATCTAATTTATTCTTTCAATAATTCTTCCCCCAAAGAAATTCTCTTGACAGTTTTGACAGCCCCCCTTTTCAATCAAGGTCTCTGTGGTGGGTATATGTTTGTAAAGAATGGTATTTCCTTTTTTAGTTGTGAATTGCTGTCAGTTTGATGACCAAAAAATCATCAGTGGAAGTGCTGACAGTACTTTGAAAATATGGCAGACAAAGACTGGAGAGTGTGTGCGGACTTTAGAGGGACACACAGGGGAAGTGGTAGGTGGCACAAAAAGTGTAATGTACTTCTTTTTGAAAGCCTTGCATTAAGTTTGAAAAGTAGACAGATGATTTTATGTGTCAGCATTTATGTTGCTATTGCATGTTATGTTTTTTCATTCTCCATGTTTCAGTACTGCTTGGTGTATAACAATGCTGTGATTGCATCAGGTTCTTCTGATAGCACAGTCAGGATATGGTCCCATGCAGGTGAGAGAGTCAGGAAATGTGGTAGTTGAGATGTGTCAGGTGTGATGGATGTGAAAGGCACACAATGAGCAAAAAACTTTTATTAAGACAAATTTAATTTTGATAATCTGACCCTGGTGAATTTTGCCCATTACAGTAAAAATGAGAAAATTAGAAATTGAAAACAGAATCATGTTAATTTTCTCAGTGGTTTTGGATGGGGTTCACTAGGGTTATAAAGGGATATTGCTGAACTAAGAATTCACAACTAACATTATATATTAAAACATTGTCTGTCTTCGTATGAAATTACATTTTTATTAGCCTAGTAGGAATCAATTGTGTGAATTTTACACTTTGAGGGCCATGGGATAAATAAATTTTATATTGAGGTTTTTACCCTCAATAAAAACTATATATTAATTAATTAATTTATTTATTTATTTCATGATTCTAAGATTTAACTATAAAAATCTAGGATGACAGCATTGACAGGTTTGTCCTCAGACTTATGTGGTCCTAACATCTCACTTTTGCCAATTTTGCCATAGTCACAGTTTTCTTATATAATTAAAAAAAGCTAGAAGTGGTACATATGCATTGCAGATATTGATCTTAATTGTTTTGACAGATAATGCACTGTCTGTAAACTTAAACCATCTGTATTCTAATTTGGATGTGACTTTGCAATCTGTCAGTGTTCTTTTTCTTGGCATGCTGGTCCAAGAGAGAAAATGAGTTGTGACAAGTCACATAAAAAATCATATCAGTGACTATAATGTACATTATTTGCAGGAGAATTGATGTATACTTTGAGAGAACATCTTGGAGTGGTGAGGTGCTTGCATATTGATGAACATAAGCTGGTTAGTGGTGGGGACCAGAAGAAGATTGTCATATGGAATTATAGGGTATGTGTCTTTCATTCATCCTTCCCTCAGTACGTGTGTGTATGCATTCATGTGTTTGCATGCATGTTTGATGTGTGCGTATGCATGTGTGTGTGCATGCGTGTGTGTGAGTGTGTGTCCTTGCTCTAGTGATTTTTGTTTTGAAACAATATGGTTTGAATTGTAGTCTTAGTTCTTACATTGTGATATTCCTTAAAAGACAACACCAACATTGTATGACATTGTTTCCTGTCTTTCAACATGTACTTTCTACATGTTTTTAGCATACATTTTTAAGTCTTGTATCAATTTTTGGTTGCCACTATTTTTTTTTAATGTATCTTATGATGCATCCAATGAAGTCTGAATTTAAATTTCAGATGGGTAGAAAGTATAATGTTGTCCATAGGCAGCCCACAAGACTCCATCTGATGCAGGTCACTGAAACCAAACTAATCACTGCCTCACCAGAAAAACCTGGGACCATCACTGTGCTGTGTTACTGGTGATCTTGAAACATATGAATATGCCAAGCCACTGATGGCTTCTAAATATTTTTGCCAATTTGATATCAGTGTGTCTGAAGAAAAAAAATCATCACTGGAGCTCAAAATTGTTCATTTGGCCAAATAGAGATTATATTTGTACTGTAGTGAGTCCAGAAATTGCATTGCTTAAAGTAATTTGTTTTTACTTGCCACATAGATAAACAGGTCTCACTGGATCCTTTTTTATTTTGTAAATACTGATGTCATCATAATTTGTTACTGTTTCTACAGTCAAAGGTGGTTTGCATGTGACATCATGCACAGTGACTTGACCATGCTGGTACCCAAAAAGGTCCCTGGTGTCAAAAAGTAACAAACAATGGTACCCCATGAGAAATGCCGAGTTGAATTTCATACCACTTGTATGCTGGACTCATTACATAAAACACTTCAGCAAACCTTTAGTTTTAAGGTCTTACCAGCCCATGGCACCTGCATGTGAACTCTGCACCAGGTTCCAGAAAAGCAAAATCATTTCACAACTCATATGAATTCTAAAAAGGTGATATTATTGGCTAAAATCCAAGTGTTCACTACACTACTGCTGTGAACTGTGCAACTGGTCATCTTCTGCCGAGTCTGGCCAGTTTGAATGGAAGAAACACACAAACTGACTGTATAACAATTGTCAATGTACCTACAAAGTGTCTTTATAATTTTATAGTCATATATATCTATAATGATAATGCCAAGGTCACCAAATTTGACTGAATGTGAAAATGTTTTATTTTTTAAACAAATAATGTGATATTTTTGTAGACAAACTTAACAGAACAAAATGTGCCATGTCAGTGGGCTTCCAACAACATTCTGCTAAGTGTACAGTAGCTGATGCTATATATACAAATGATTTTTTTTACCCATCAAGCACCTGTTGCCACATTTCACATAAAAGAAAAAAGGATTTCACAAAATGTGTGATTTATTGGCATATTTGTTAATTCACGTAATCTCTGTTAGTAAATGCAGTCAGACATAAAAAAAACTTGGGTAGCCAACACTGTGTTCCTTTAAATTTGGAAACGGATGTAAGTTGGTAATTTGAATGTGACACTTGTAAAAAAAAAGATATTATAAGTTTGATTGTTCTCAAACAGGTACATACATGTTGAAGCACTTGGTCTCCCTGCATGCACTGTATTTGTAATATTAAAAGCTATCATTTCCATTTTTATTGAAATATCTTTACTAGTTAAAATTATCGCATAATGTTTTTTTTTTTATTTATTAGCCCAAGCACCCAAACACCCAAACACCGTGTATGTACTCACTGGAAGTCACTGCCAAGTATTTCTGATTTTAGCTGTTACTCTAACCTAGGCAAATTTTAATACTTACTGGTAGACTCTGATATCATATAATGTTTTATAACTAACTCATATTTTGATGATTATCGGAGACCCCCAAATCTGCAATATGATATTTTAACCCACTCTGCATGGCAGAGAATAACACAAACCTTGAACCCATCATAATTATATATATATATATATATATATATATATATATATATATATATATATATATATATATATATATATATATATATATATATATAACGGAACTTGGGGGCATTTCTAGGTTGAAAACAGACGTCTGTGGCACTGGGAAACGCACCCCTGTACACAGTGCTGGGTAATCTGAAAAATCAAAACTGAATGTCAATATTTGTGGTATTTTCTGATGAGAGGAGATTGTGGGAACTGCCACTACAAAAATTCTTGCTGACTTGATATGAAGTGTTTTTTAAAGATAAATGGAAAGGTGTTGTACGGGGAAGTATTTTCAGAATAAAAGAGGAAGATTACGTGTGTTGGATTTATTTTCCCCAAAACGTTCATTTTTGCATAGTAACATTTTCTGAATTTTCGCATGGCTTTTATTTCTTCGTTTCCTTCTTTTGCATATTCCATATTTCTCAAATTTTCCCTTTGCTATAATTTTATATTCCCAGATAATATTTTCTTTCAATATTACGAACTATTACATAGTAATTATATTATATAATAATATACCCTTTCAGTATTACTAACTATTATACAGTAATTATATTTAATTCCTTCTTTTCCTCTTATGGCAACAAGCAGATAACATGGCATGTAATTCTGTTTCCTTGTAGTTTCTCTGTGATTAACATGTTATTTTCTGTGACATGTGGTACCCAGTGGACTCACCACACGCGGTCGCCAAGCTGCTTGTGGAACGTCCATTAATACCTGCTAAGAACGCTTCAGATGGAACGCTTTGGCATGTTTCTGCTGATGTTGGAAACCATTAATATATCTGCCATGTCCGCGGTAGCCTGCGAACACACACTATTCATTCTTGACGTTTGTTTTGTAGATTAGCTGGGAAAATTGAGTATTAAAACAGAAATTACTGATGTTTTTATTGGTAAAACGTTTAAACTGTAGTTAAATGCGACGTGACTGGTAACCTTTCAAATTACTCTACCAATAACGCGATAATTATATTATTTAACTGTAATTCTACCAATCATTTCATCATCTTATTTGTTCAGTTTTCACCATATCGCCATTGTTTTTGTTTTGTTCTTATATACCCCTAAAATACAGCTGTCAATCACCTAGCGTTTTAATTAATCTGACAAATTGTTTGCCACAAAACCAACAGTACAGGTGAATCCGGGGAAACGTACGCATTCCATCTGTCAGGTCGATGTGATAGACAGCCGCAAGCATAGCTAGAAAACAGGTTGAATAGTTACCCTTTGAGTCTGGTTAGACATGTTATTTCAGATTAGAGCTAATCGCTGTGGTGAGTATTACACATTTATTGCCGCGGAACAACTTGATATTACTGACGGTTGTGAAAATCAGACACTTGTGTTTTTGCACACTTTTTAATTAAACGGCTGGTGTTAAAACCATGTGTGAGAAACTCATTACTCTTAATAATACTCGTATATTGGTTAAGTTGTTTTCTTCCTTAGATATACTTTGTAGGTTATTGTCTGAAAAGTGCGTTGTTCTACCGTCGTCTGTAAGTAACGCACTATAGTAAGAGTAAGAACACTAGAGGAACATTTTGTAGTCAGCCACTTCATCCAGTTTTTAAGAGGATTAAACTTGATGATTTAAAGGCCTACAATATACCGGGTACCACACGAAGAAGTTGCCACTGGGATAATGAACAATGTACAAACTCGCAAACAGCGCAGTCAAGGGCTGTTAAATATTGGCATAGGTCTGGAACGAACAAAAGTGTCAGATACTAGAGTACATGGCTGTGATCAGATTGAATTGGCATTGATTTGCATCCGAGTAGACCTGAAGTGACTGGTGTATGCTAGAAAAAGTTTTCTTTTTCTTTGCCAACTTACATCTCGAACCCTTAGTCATACATGCATTTTGTTTGGACGGCTCAAAGTACGGAATTATCTGCGTGCTTTGTGGGCAAAATCATTTGCGTGGGCCTGCAAGAAAAAAAGGGGGGCTACCACGAGACCTATTCGCCTCAAATAAAAATATGTGAAAATGTAAGTGATTTTGGTTAATAATGTGAAACTTCTTCCTCAGCCAAGTTTATAGCAATGGCAAAAAGAATCGCGCGATGATTTTAATGCTAGCAGTGCGACTCTTCATTAAAACATTGCGGTGTTATTAATGAACTGCCATCTTTATTAATATATGAAGTGTTGGGGAACGACCAATTTAAAAGCTACCCAATTTCGCTCTCTTAAATAATAACCACATTTTAAATCACAAATCACACACCCTTCTTAAAACACCTAACCCAATATGAATATAGAAATAAAAATGAGATTGCGATCAAAGTAAAATTTATAATAGCATGTGGGAGATGCCAGCTTATGTGACCCGAGAGAAGACGACATAAATCACCAAGTTGGCACGACAGTCGAGGTACGTTGTACCGTCTTTTCCTTTCCCTAGTTACCTCCCTAGTTCCTTCTTCCAAATCTTTGATTTATGTTGTGTCACAAACGTTCCCTAAACTTTTATAACTTGTATCGAGAGACACCTGTAAAGTGTTAAATTGAATATCTGAATATTTTATCAGACAGGATACAGTTCATTTGCATTTTGTTGGGTATATCTGACTACTAGCGGTTATTCCTGTATCAATTGAAGGCTCAATAGGGTGTCCAAAATGTGGTGCTGCTACTTTAAGTACACTTCTTTTTTTATCCAGAAGATGGATGGTGATCGTGTCCTTCATGCATAATAACGCCACGCACATGAAGATTTTCAGAGATTTTCACATATTTTAATGAATAGGTACATGACTCATGTTTTAATTGTTTTACTAATTTGGATTCATACTTCTTATTAACTAACGCAAATATTTAACTATGTATCCTGCTTATTCAAATTGATGAAAGAGGTAGACGGTGTTATTATTAACTCATTTATTTTGTTAGATAATTTAAGATCGTATTTTCGTTTCCAAGAAAATAAAACACGGGCATGCATATTTCACGTGTATGAGGAAAACACCCACCATGTTAATAAATGACGCTATAAATTCTTACGAAATATAGATGTTTCTATGAAAAACAGAAAGCTGGTCAAATATTATTGCAACTAAGTGCTGCATGAACAGTTTCGTGTCGTGTGTTGTGGCATCGAAAGTGTTCTCGATTAATTTAATCTGTGACGATATAAGGGGAAAATTTTTAATCAATATTGTTTTCAGTGAGTGTACAATAAAACGGTGCTGGTGCTTGCATTTATACTTAATGCTAAAAAAGAGTGTGGTGGCATTTTTTCACCAATTTTTATAAACGAAATTTGAATAATTTCAAACGGTATTTTTCTCTTCTTCCTTAAAAGTCTCTCTCTCTCTCTCTCTCTCTCTCTCTCTCTCTCTCTCTGAATTGCCCTTGAGTGCGTGATCGTCTATAATTAGACTTTTTAACCTTTCCTGCACATGTCAATCTTCAAGTGCTGGGGGAACCGACATGATTTTAATGAGTCCCTTGGCAATCACGTGGGTTCGGATTTCAATTAGTGGCATGCTGCGAGCGCTGCCGTATTCCAGCAAATCATTAGTCAGTATTTATGGCCACTGTGAGCACCTGGTAACCTAGAGTAATGCTTACTCTATCATTATCGACTCTTAAATCAATGTGGAGACAATATGAAGAATGCCATGAGCACGCGACACGAAAGACAACTAATATTTTAAAAGAGGGAACTATGTGGTATTATAAAGGCCGTCGGTTTCATGTAGTGAAAAATGTTAAGTAATGACTTCTACTGAACCACTTTTTGAAGTCGAAGTTTCTTTAGGAAAAAGACTACATGTAAGAAAACACGGGGATTTAAAGAGAAGCGTAATTTTTGCTGTCTGACAAGGTATTTGTTTTGTCTAGGTATGTATGGGGTCAAGTCAGGTCAAGGAGAATTGCACTTTAATTTGCATTTTTTTTTTTAAATCGTCGAACAAAATTATAAATTTCCGAATATTTCATTAAGTGACTTGACAACCCAATGTACGTGTCGGATGACTGTAAATTCCCGTTCAAGTTCACACCCCAAGACATCGTCTATGTTTACTTACCCTCCACTGCCAAGTCTTAACTCCCCGGGTCTCTATTTCCATTTCAAACTTGAAATTCAATCGCTGTCTAGCGCAGACCATTAGCAAGGCAAACTTGCGTTGCCTGACATTTAGCTGTTCAAACTAAGTCATCGTTTGTTTTGAAAGAGAAGGTCGGATAATGTTAGAGCCTCTTTTCTGATTTTTTTTCTTTGATATATCAAGTACATTTTCGATAATGATGAATGTGCTGATATAGATTTTGAAAGTAGAATTGGTGACGCACGCAGCTATACGAGGAGAGAAGTGTGTGTTTTAAAACATGATTCTCCTTGAAGTTTTGACAGTGATTTTTTGCTGATATTCATACTTATACAAATAACCATTATATTTGTTAAACCACTGCATCTTTATACCTTAGAACTGAAAAAAATAGATACAAGGTGGTACATACACGGTACTCTTTTTATGTGGACACAATACATTTTTTAAAACTCTAAATAACGAGTCTTCGGGTTATCTAAATTTCTGTGCACAAATTTGACCTGGGATTCCAACTCGTTACGGCTTTGTGAGACTACGACAGCCCAGGTATGTAGCATCTGCCACACATTCCAATTAATAGGTAATCAGTGTTAAGGGTGCCCACCCTAAGTATTGGGCTTCTATTGTTGGCAGATCCTGAAGCATGAAATAGCACCTGTCAACAGAGAGGCTTCACGCTGCCTCATATTCATGGTCACGTCAACTTCAGGTGATTAGAAGCACATCGGTACTCACACCCTTACCGAGCTATTTCAACAGCCAACCACAGAAAAAGAAGTCTTAGTCAGAACTTTAAAATTGCTGTTTTTCAGCGCTCCTAAGCTGGGTTAATCCGACAGACTGAAAGCCGAGATGCTGAATTAGTCGGGCCTAGTTTGCTTTCCTTCCAATCCTTTTCACTCTGATGGCAAATGGAGTGAAATGAGTCCGGGCCCCCTATTGTTCACCGAATCCTCGCCCCTTTCATATGAAAGAAAAGAAATTCAATGCACACCGCAGTCGACGTGCAAATAGCCGTGTAAATAAATTGTTAATGGAGTGTTGGACCACCCCGCTCATTACTACACGGGATTTTTTTTGTTGAGATAAGATGATTGACATGTCAATTAAATGGTAATTAATTGGTGACTGGCGAATGCGGTTGCTGTTTTAAGTCACGTGTTTTTGCAGTAAGTAATATGCAGCTCATAGCAAACCTGGGTTTCTCTTTCAGTATGCTTCCCGGCGGGGGAAAGCGTCGTGAGACCATGGATCGAAGGAGCTTAGGATAATTCCCTCTAATTCATTCGTTTACCTGACAGAACAAGATGGCGTGGAAAAAGAGAAGACGCTATCCAACGTCGCTCCTTATTTCCACGACTTTAACTATCATTTTCATGGCTAGCAACATAGCGTTCATCCACTATGGATTAACAGACGAGTCCCAAGGGAACGAGGAATTAAGAGACGTGTTTTTACAAGATAGAGACGAGATAAAGGGACTCGGGGTTCAAGGAGAATCAGTCCTTTTCAGTGCCAATAGTGTTAGTGATCCTCATCTGAGAAAGTTGATGGAGGACACGCGTGCTAGCTCAGAGGACTTCAATAAAGGAGATGCTTTAGACCTTTCTTATCACAGTTTTTTATCCACACACAGAGGTCTGAGTTGTGATGATGTCAGGAACTTTACTGATAAGGAATACGTTGCATCGGGCTGGACTAAAGCTGTCTACAAAGTAAAACATAAAGGCCAGGAGATGGCTTTAAAAACAGTGGACGTTACAGGGCGTGACGTGACCACTTGCTTAAAAAACAGCGGCAGGACGCTAGCATTCTGTTATGCAAAGGCAGCTCGGAAAATATTAAAAGAAATTGTTTTATTACAGGGCTTAAACCACAAGAATGTAGTTAAGGTGGGTAAATGCATTATGTCGTTTGGGTTTTCGCTCTCTCTCTTTCTCTCTCTCTCTCTCTCGGACCTTCTTCAGTTTAACCTTCGACTTTTGCCGCATCCGTCCATTACCTGTATATATTTACTTAGTGTATTTACCTATGCTGATTTAAGCGTTTGTTTGTTTTAGACGATTCCACCGGGGTTTTCTCTATAACTTTCTTGTGTGTTCTCATTGTGTGGTTAATATTGGTATTTTCATACAGCCCTATTTTATTTCAATCTATTTACCTGCCCTTTCAAACGCCAGCCTTGTGTATTGACCCTGTGTATTAAATCATTACTCCTGCGCTATTAATTTCACTTCGGTGGAGTTAATTCAGCCCTAGAAATAGATCTTCTTGGCGGAAGAAATGAGAGAGGCGGAGAAATTTTCTGTTAATTCCCTATTTTCCGTATTGTCATAATTCAGACTGACAACACTGAAGATTCATTTTAGTGAATAGTGTGTGTGCATATGTGTATGTGGAAAGAGAAGGGCAGGGTGGGTAAAAGTACCTAATATTAGTTACCATCTGATATAGTATTTCTGTCCCTTTTTGTAAAGGCTTAAGTCACGATCTGTCATTCATATCAATCTATTAGTTATTTTAATTTGTTAAACAATAATAGTTTCAAATTATTTTTATAAAACAATCGGACTAATTTCATTTCCCCTATAAAACTTGTTGGAAGAACAATATGGTTGTTTGTCCTTTATCTTTTTATATACGTTTCACATAACGCTGTAATGGTCTTCTCCTCTGCGTTTTAACATTGTCACCATCCTGTCAATAACACGACTCTCTGGCAATTAGTCGAGTTCCTAGCCAAAGAAATTAAAAAAATATTTGAAAATACCGGTGGCATTCTGTAATTGCTAGCACGTAAGCTTACCACGTTGGCATGGCCTCAAAGACACTAAATGGAAGACTTAATGGAATTTTCCGATTGAGCGTCCCTGAATCTATCACTGGAATTGGATTTGGGGCAGAAGTCATTACTGTTCTATTACAAGGAAATTTGGTAAAATTGAATCAAGCACGAGAAAAGAGGGATGAATTGTATTTGCTTGTTTGTTAAAATATTAGTTGTGGTTGAACTGAATCGACAAAGTTGTTATCACAAATAAGACCTAAAGTTGAAAATTATCACCTATTACGTTTATATTAATTTTCAGCGGGTGGAATTGTGAACAGCAAGATACAACTGTAATAGCTATTGTTATTCCAATGTAATTAGAAGTTAGTCACATGAGCAAAAGCTTTGTGCTTTCAAGCTTGCATTATATTTCTTACAAGCTTCCTAATATTTCAATCGATCACTGGCTTGTTTCATAATTACAAGTCGTCTCACATCATGTAAATTTGCTCACTGATTTCTTAAAGAAGGGTGGTATGTCAATTTATGAACGCATTTATCATGACACGTGCCACTGGAAAGTGGCTTTAAATACAATTTACATCCTCGATGATATGTCAGTTATGGCAACAGAGGAGGATTGATTTGGTGTATGTTTTCCAATTAAAAAGCCACTGGCGTACACAAGCACCAACTCAATAGACGTTCACAGTTCAAACATTGTGGTATTTTAACTGTGAAAACTGCCAACGTCAAACAAAAACGATTAAATATACAGACTGCCTAGCATCTTGTCGAAAGACGTGTAGGAAACAGTAAACTAGTTTACTGCAGAGTGATTTTTGTTTAGAGCTTTTAGAATGACGACTGCAAACACTTGAAATTCAAATGTTTCCTTGCCTCTGTCATTTAGGCTACAGGATTGACGGAGAGAGGATATAAACATTGAATATAAAATCTCAAATTTCTTTACATGCAGTGGATCGTTCTGTCGCTGGCGAATCCAAGATTTTTGCAAATTTAAGGCAATAAAGCGATACTTAGAAAGTTATACCAAAATTTATGTAGAACACAGGGATGGGAAATGTTCTTGCTTTGTCTCGTTTTTGCTTTTGCTGGATATGATGTCCGCCCTCTCCCGATCTGTCTTTGGTTGTACCCAGTACCCGTATGTCTAAGACCACATTTCCAGAGATTAGATCGATCTACTTTAGATCGACCTAACTCCCTGGGGGTTCACGCTAAATAGCTGTAAGCCGAGCGGACACGAAAGTTAATTACCCCCTTACAGCTTGTAGTAGGCGGGACGGACATTTAAGCCGGATTATCTGACAGTAATCTAGTGAGACTCCCCGCGGGGATAGATCGATCTAAAAGCTCTGGGAATACAGCCTAAAATACAAATGGTGCACGTGCGTATTATGGAGAGCTACTAACATATCAGCACTGACTATAATTTCTGTAACGTTGCATATGCATCATTTTTTTACTATTTTGGACGTTCACTTCTCGCTGGAAGATATGGCAGATGTGTGCCAGAATTGATTATCGTTTAAACGTAATGTTTTGAAAGTGTTTATCTCTCTCTGTTAGTACCTGTTGGTATGAAAGATAACTGAAGGACAAACATGCCATGTTTTCACACCTCTTTATCCTGAAGTGTTTCTTGTAGCTTAGTTGTGAAGTTCCATTTATAAGTGTAAATGAGAGATATCGCAATATTGACGATGTTTTGTATGAGTGTAAATGAGAGATATCGAAATACTGACGATATTATTTGCGCCTTGATGTGACGGTAATTTGTGTCTCTCTATCTCTCTCACACACATATAATGGATATTTATTATACCTTATATACCATACACCTTAATGTGTATTTAGGGGGAAACTCAGCAATTTGAAAGAAGATGCTTTCTTTTTTCTGAAAAAGAGGACCTATTTACTGCGTAGTGTATTCATAGATCAAATTTTGGCTTCGATTCTTTCGAGTCCCCCCCCTTCCCTCCCACATACTTACGGACCTGAAATTTGACGCATAATTTTTTCTTGATATGTAAAAAAAGACATTCTTTCTCTCCTGTCCTCTGGGCACTGGGTATGAATGAAGGAGAGTGCATGATGAGCATGCTGTGTTTCCCACAATATTTTTCTTTCTGTCTCGCGCTCAATATTTTCTCAGGTGATGTTTACGTCAGCTGCGCGCCAGTGATTGGCAAACATGGGCCAATTAGTGACCTAATGCTGAGCCTTCTTTTTCTGTACATCTCCGACAGTTCTTTTTTTCACGAAATCATTTACAGCTAGAAAAAGTAAATTGCAATTATCTGTCTGTATTAGAGCAACCCAAACTGAAAAGTCAATCATGAAATAAATCCATTTATTTGACTGGTCATATTGAAAATGCACAATTACGGCATTATGGTATCCCGCATGAATAATAATAATAATAATAATAATAATAATAATAATAATAATAATATTAATTGTTACAATAATGATTATATCTATTTCTTAAAAATTGCGGTTCACACACGTTATAGTACCGTTTGTATTAATAAATACTTATCGTGTTAGAAAGAAGGTGATGTATTATTAATATTTATATAATGTGATGGGCAATATAGGTGGGTTAGTTGTTTAAAATCGTATATATAACTTTCCTCATTCACGTTACAGGTACTGGGTTATTGTGTTCCAAACAAGCCGTACGACGGGAGCCCAGAGACGGAGGTTTCCATGGTTGTCGAGCTAGGCACAAACATCGACATTATTCGACTGTTACAAATGTCATGGGAGGACAGATTAAGAGTAAGTGAACAAATTCCCTCTCACCGGTATGGAGCTATTATAAAAATACGAGGTGGCAGCTTGTTTAATTTCGTTTTAAGTTCAAATTCAGGGTTGAATCAAAATGAAATTTGATTCTATGACTACACGACAATGCTCTCAGGGCGTAATTGCATTAGCTGCGATAATTGAGTCTTTCTGGAATTCAATAAAATGAAAAAGATTAACACTGAAGAGGACACATAAAATTCACATTTATCTAGGAACAATAAGACAAGCAAGAGTGCGTTAAGATTGGACTGTGGGTGTACTTTTCTCTCATAGTACTGTATGACATCTGCATTTCATTAGAAACAAAATATATCTATGCTTATCTGTCTGGGACCAATTTTTGATCTGTGTAGAAATCAGATCTTCAATTAATGCTAAATATTCCATCATGTTTGCAAAACTCAAATAAATGAATAAGTTTTTGAGAGATAGACGTCTCAAGAGAAAGCATATTAACTGGCTATATCATCGATGGGATAATGTCTATGAGTTATTTAAAGTTGTTTGGTATGAGATGTCTTCCTGAGGCCTCGAGCGATAACAGTGACTCTTCTCAGATAAAACCCCCAAATGACCCGTTTATCATCAATTATCTTGTCACTTCTTTAAAAAAGCTGTGACATTTGTACAATCTGCTTTGGGTTCCTGCCACTGCAGACTGACGTCAATCTTGAACTACTAATGAGAGAAATCTCCCAACAACACGAAAGCACATTAAAATAGATCGTTTTTTTAGATAATAATCGTAATAAAAATACAATGAATACAGGTATTATAGCAATGTTTGCCTTGTTACAAACATATTGCATTTTGTCGTTTTATTATTTTTCATCGCATTTATCTAATTTTCACAATCGATACCTGATACTTTTCTTAAAAGCATGGTTAGGGTTCAAAAGTTGCCATTTCAGCAATACCTGAATAGGTGACTTTTAATATTTTATATATCTACAGGTGTAATATTCCATGGTGGGCTTACCTGAAATGTTTGTAGGGAGACTACTGACTGTAGCATTTTCATCACGGAATATATCTTTCATATTTGAATTAAAAAATTATACAATAATCTCGTATTTCAGGTCTCGTATGGCGTAGGACAGTTATTACACTACATAGCTAACTCCCCATATGGCTCCTTATCACTCAACGATTTCCGACGTCAGCAGTTTGTGCTTGTTGGCGGTGAAGTGAAGTTGTCTGACGTGGATGACGTCGGATTCGAGGAAGTGACGTGTAAAAAGAACTCTGACTGTGATGTTCCTTTCTCTTCAGCCAATTATACCATTCGGTAAGTGAGATTCGAGGCATTTTTGGAACTAAAAAATCTAAGATTGTCTTGGTCATTTCAGTTTCATTTCTTTAGCTGTCTATTTGTACTTCTAGTTTATTATGCTTTTAGCTGTTGTTATTTGATTTAAGAGTATGTTTTACTAGTAGTTTTAGCGATCGAGTCTCATTGCAAAAAAAAAAAAAAAAGAAAACTCACCTTGTCAGAAAAAAACTATCGTCAACCTCATATGAAAGGGTTGTAGTCGGATGATATTGTAACATACATGTATTTGATTGCAATAACGATTACATTGCACCAACACTATGTCTAAATTACCTATTACAGAACACACTGCATAAACCAAAGATGCTTTGGACTCAACGAGAAAAAGAATATATTTAACGCTGGTCGTCACTTTACAACATTCATTCTTCCACATGGTGTTCCAAAACCACTACAAGCTCACGTGAATGACGTCATCAAGGGGTTCAGTAACGCCACAGTGAACTCGGCTGAGTTATCCACTATGTTAGATACATTGGTGCATCAGTTTTCCAGTGGCTTTCACCTTAACCGTCTCGATAAAAGTGACTACGAAGCAGGTAATGTATTAAAGTGTGTTTTTTTAAGGATACTGGATGTGAAAAGAAAATGACATCATGATACCCATTAACACATCTTGCATTATAGATAAAAAAGGATGCCATAGAAAATGCAAAAATGTGTAATAGCATCTGATCATATTGGATAAAAACGTTAAGGCTTCGTTCACATGAAAAATCTATTTTCTATTCGCGGTATCTTGTGATCACGGTCTGTGCCCTGAATACCCCGCGGCGTAATTACTGGCAGTGCGAGCCAGTTACTTCCAAAGCTGTAATTAATTCTCGGCTGCCCTCGGAGTGATCACAAGATACCGCGAATAGAAAATAGATTTTTAGAAAATAGATTTTTCATGTGAACGAAGCCAAAATCTCAGTGAACATCTCCCTCACATGTCAGTTTCCTCTCGACCTATTATCGGTTCATATGAATAATGTAACCAGTATATAATAAATGAAATTGATAAAATATCTAAACTTTTTTGTTAGGTTATGAGTGCACAGACGGATTTGACTACCCGGGCAGGTATGACTATAGATGTCGCTACTCAGTGGCTGGTGGAAATTGCCATATATCCGTGTTTGACCAAAAAGAAGCTGAAATGCTTTGCGATAAAGACAAAGACTGCAAAGGATTTGTTATGTCCGACCAAAAGTCGTGGACAGGTAAATAATTGTATACGTAAAATATGATACATCTTTAAACACACGCAAAAATACATTAACTCTCACGAGTTTTTCATGAATCAGGTTAGGATTCATGTATATGCATATGTTTAAGACACTGAACGTTATAGACCGTTATAGACTTAAAGTCTAATTTCCTGGAAATTTCTACATTTTCTTGCAATTGCTTAATTATAGCATACACAAAACCGAATAAGAACCCATAAAGTTGATTTTAGTGTTAAATTCTTAGCTTTTGAGCTTCTCAACCTTTTGGCTAAGATCAAAGTGTAGTGAGTGTATAAATAAGATTGAGACTGTTGCATTTCACTTACGGCGGTAAAATAAGAAATTTGGAGTTCAAAAGTGGGTTTATAGTCCGTAATTTTCCCGATAGTCTGAGATAGGGTATACTTTGGCAAGAAGGGAAATTAGCGAAAATTTCTAGAAAAAGTCCTCTTTACATAGAGGTCTAAACGCGCATTGTATGCCTTTAAAATCCAGACCTACGACATACTTAAACGAACGAGTACAACAAAATATGTACATTAGGCAGTTATATCACTTGCTAGAAATGAACCTTTTTGCATATGAACATTGTAGTTTTTTTTTAATTTTCAGGGAGGACAATTGTGCATATAAAAAACAACAAAGGACTCCCAGCAAAGAATCCTCGCACAAGACTTTGTAATAAACCAGGATCGCATTAATCAGCGTTACGTTTAAACCGTACTGCCCACCTGTATGACATTGCCAATGATTCTATGGTCATTATTCTTGAACTTTTTTGAAGTTTACGTTTGACAAGTAAAACGCCCAAAATGTAGTGTTTTCATCTCATGTGCATAAAACATCTGAATGAGTCACATGCACTTGTCTTTTTATCCCGGTGCTTATTCGGCGTTTCAGCTAGTCAGATATTTTGACAAACTTGTATACGTTTATCGATGTGAGTGTGCGGCCGGTGTCATGTACGAGAAAATCCCTTGTGATACAGGGTTTGGTTCCCATTGGTTGGTTCAGGTAAGCACCGTCCAAAATTTTGGCCCATTCACGCCATGCTTAGCCTAATCTGTATGAATCTTATGGAGGGTGAACTCTATGTTACACGGACCCTCTTTTTTTTTTAAAGACCGGTAAAAGTGAGACCGAAACGTTATATATGTGTGAAGTAACAATTATTCTGAAATAGTTCATCATTTACTGTAAATTCATGTCTCATAAACATTTCATTTGTTTCATTTATACTAGCATTGGCAGAAATGCTTTTTGATCACATAACATAAAGATGCATTTATAAATGTCATTTCAAACTCACCGATTCATTAACGTAGTATTTTGATATACAGACATAAGTCTAGATGTCGGCTTATATAAAAGTAATCGAACATGTTTTGTACATAATGCTTTCGAAATCCGATGTGACATTATGTTTTCAGCATTTTGCACGTTATTAAAATCTGTATATGTGTCATGTTTTTTAAATATCTGATATAATAGTTTACTGCTCGAAAACAACGCTTGTGATATGTATTCTGTTTATATGGCAAAAATAAATTCACTCTCATTTGAAGATCTTTATTGTTTATCCACACGCGCGCGCAAACGTTTACACAAACACACACACACACACACACACAGAGAGAGAGAGATGGTGCGAACTGAATGATCACATTTTCATAATAAGCACAAAATAGATAAATCATCTCAAATTTTCATTATATATTCCGACGTCGTCGCTTAAAATAACTAATTTCTTGGTTAATTTGCTGAGTGGCTCTGTTTGAAAAATTGGAGGCACCTGTCGAAAATTAACAGGATCAGACTGTCTGTATATTTACCAGCTTTGCTGTCTTATTTCTGTTTAAAAATAAGACAAAAATAAAAGTGTGATACATGGACCTTTTACCAAAAATGTGGTCAATAAAGTTATAGGCATACACATCACTAATAAAATAACCGTTTGAGGTTGTCAGTGTAATCTACCCTGCAGAATGGTCCCACTGGGGGTAGTGATCACAGTTCACGGGTAATGAAATCATCAATTCCCAAATCACAGTAAATAAAACTTTATTCATATTTCACTGATAATCCTGAAAATTGCGAATAACCGGGTATATAATAATGACTTTTTATCATGAAGGGCAAAGAATAAAGGTATCCTTTACGAGTCACGGGAACGGGGTGTTTTTCGGATCACACTGAATACGTTTTACGCATCTCGGGATATAAACAGTGGCTTCCACGGATAACGTAAATACCCAATGGGACCCTCCTGCGGTAAGACAACCAAAGGCAAAGTACTCCTTGAAAATGTTCGTGTTTTGCTGACATACACAACGCTTACAGCTAAGTCACCAGAACAGTTGGAATTCATTCAGTCATTGTTTTCTCCTTACTAACCTCCTAACTAGAGGAACCGGGACGAAGGTGGATAGGGCTGCTTAGAAGACATCTTACTGAGTAAAACATGAGGCAATATGGGACATGCAGTTTAAGTAAAAGCAGACAAATTGTGCACGGGGAATTCTCCACTAAAAGTGGATTACGATCGCATTGTCGCTACATTAATTTCCATATTTTCTACTCCATCTTTTGCCTTCATCTGAACACAGTTTTCCCATAGCTTCTTGATGAATTTTTGAATAGCTGTCAGTCCGACAGGCCCTTTTTATTCACCTAAGCGTAGACTGATTTCATGTCATAATTGCCAATCGGTCACATTTTACGCAAATTATTTTCACACAAAGTCTTCGTACATGTTTTGTGTAGCCTAGATATCAGCATATAGTTTTGGCCAAATTTAAACCAAGAATCTAATTTCTTGGTTAAACCTTCTATGGTTAAATTAATCTAAAATTATTGAGCAGAGCATTTTCCCTCTGGTTTAAAAAGAAATTACTTTCGGATAATCAGTCCCTTCAAATCGAAAACCCCAAAAAGGCATTTTCCAGCCCAATCATATTAATAAGCCACTGGAATGAGACATGTTCTTTGAAAATGAATATTTTCCCTTTAAATGAAAGTTGATCAAAGAAAAGATGTATAAAACGACAACCCTGAATCAGATTGATTGCTTTCTCGGAAATACCAGCCATCAACGTAAAACGTAGGCCTTAGTGGAATAGCTTGTGGTTTTCAGTAAAATGCAGCGCTTGCGAGAGAGAGACACCACGACAGTCTGTTTATTGTGTTAGTTGCGAATTCTAGGCACGTGTACCCAAGCGTACAAATGCCATGGCAATAGCACAGGCATAGCAATATTGCACCGCAGGATGGAGGTTGACGAAGCAGCTTGCATCTTTGCTTCTTTGCTACTGAACTCGGTCTTCAAGTTTATAACACTGTACTGGATCAATAAGAAGAGGCGATCAGAACCAGTATGTGTTGGAGAGATATCCTCATTGTATGTCTACCCCGTTAAATCTTGTGCAGGGATCAAAGTGGAAGAGATGGACTGCACGAGACACGGCTCGAGGACCGGGGCCGTCACAGATAGGTGAGACAAGGTCACCTGAATTGTACTTGAACTTTGATGAATTGAAAAACGCATGCGTGGTATCAGGAAAACTAAAACAAACAGCGCACATTATGTAAACTCGTTTGGCCTTTTCAAGACAAGCGTTATAAGATATATATCTTATCCTGTGTGGGAACCGAATTCCTTTTCCCCATTCGTCCCACAAACTTACCCCGTTACCCAATAATTTAATCAACCCTAACCTGTAGAGAGTCCGCTTCCGATTCATTTGTACAGGTGAACCTCGCCCTAGATTTTGACCCACTGAGGTCAGACTAACCCTAACCTTGGACCTAAATAGGTTTAGGTCCAAGCTCCAGAAAACCAATAGTTAGAAATTATTCATTATTGCAAACTTTAAAGTATCTATTAAATAATTCTTTCCAAAAGTATCCAAACACCCCACAAACTTCCTTTTTTTAAGTTAGGTTACATTTTTGTTCACTTTTTAGGCATTGGATGATCGTTGATAAGAACGGAAAATTTCTCAGTCAGCGTAAACTGCCACGCCTGGCTCTGGTTCAGCCAAGTATCACTGGCAACAAACTGAGTCTGGATGCCCCAGGAATGAATACTCTGAAGCTGGACATTCTTCAACCTGTGAATAGAGATAAGATCGTCAAGTGCAGGTTAGCAAAACTTTCTTATTTTTAAGGCAAAAGGCAAAACCCTCATTAAAACAGAATTTGAACACAATTTGTACCCTGTATGATCTTTCCTGTTGTCAATTTCACATAATTCTTTCCATCAAAATTATGCATTAAAATTAGTGTAATAGCCTACATCATTAAAAAAATGTATAGCCTTATCAAAGATACATTGCTCTCTCCTGCCATCATGATCCTCTTTGAAGGGGGGGGATTGATGTTTCAAATTTTGATTTCTTCTTTCAAAGCTACAAACTCTTTATGGTTTAACATGACATAAATGAATTATATTTTACACCTGTCAATCACAAAATATGTTTTGCTTTTATACCAAAAATTTATTTCTTTAGCCATGTGCTGTATTAGTAATTGCATGGGTCATTGAGTTGTCAGCTATATACAGTGCAGTATTTCAGTATTTGGGACCTCATCCAAAGTGTTGTCTTCCAGCATTTGGGATGTTGAGGTGTCTGCCATGTCATGTGGTGCTGAGGCAGATAAGTGGTTCAGTGCCTTCCTCCAGAGACCAGACACAAGGTTGGTATGTGCCCACCCTGACATCACAGACTGTATGAGACAGCTCAACAAGAATCTGGGCACAGATCCAGTGTTATCCTATCCTAAAGACCAAGACGTGGTAAGAATTTTCAATTTGACCTGGCTCATTAATTTTTTCAAGTCTTTTTTTGGTCATGTGATATGGATAATTTACTTTGGATTTATAGTATATAATTAAACACTTTCCCAATAATCATATGGTTTTCTGTCAAAAGTTTGAGAGGAATTTCATCAGCTGTTATAACAATGAAGGAATTTTTTGCTAGATATCGAAATATTGGAGGTAAAAACTATCTCAATATTAGCTGTTGACTGAAAACAAGAGAAAAATTACTTCATTTAGTCAAAAGTTTGATTTGACTTAAAATGATAAAACAAACTGTCATGCCAGAGTGACCCTAGGTTGTTTATATGTTTGACAGCATTTTTGAACAAAAAAGGCGAGTCTCAGTAGGAAATATTGCTCCCAGTCTTTTCCATATTTTCATATTTATTTTTATACATTTACTAAAGGCAACCATGATAGTACAATGTATGCAAGTAGAAAAATAACAGGTATCATTTGCAAAGTAGAAGATTCTGTAACAGCATGTATGATAAAGGTTTATAATTATCAGCATGTATAACTTTAACTTGAGATTTTTTTTCAGTGAGGTTGAATATTTTTGTCTTGTTTCAGCTTGACATTTTTACATATAAATTTGTTGGAGGGCCTGGAGGGTGACATTGCTCAGAATTTATCATTGGTCAAAATTTACCAGTGATAGTTGCTATATTTCTTTTCATATACTTGTTCATCCTTCTCACTTTTGTTATTTGTTGCAGGTAGCTTTTGCTGACTGGGCACCATTCATGCTGCTGTCTGAAAATTCCATTGCTGATGTCAATACCAGATTGAGTAAGAAGGTAGAAGTTAGGAACTTTAGACCAAATTTCTTGGTGAAAGATTGTGGGGCCTATGCAGAGGTAAATTTTGTTGATTTTCAGCTTTGAAAAAAGTTTGTATCTCAATGAGGATAAAGTATGTGTAGAAATTAGCATAGTTTGTATGTAAAAGCTTTGATCAGTGTAATTCTTACATCTTGCTGTTGATTTTTTTACTTTACCTGATAAAGATATCAAATACTATATTTCTTGCAAATATTTTCCTTCTTTTAAACCTTAATAGTCAAGTAGTTAGCCAGTATATAGGGCTGATATATATATATATATATATAAGCTAGAGACCTTTCTGTGACAATCAATCTCAGCGAATATGTTGAAAGTTGTTTCAGGAACAGAGAAGATATAGTTTAGAGATAGCCTGTTGTGTTGTTTTTCCAGTATTTATCTGTCAGAGCAATTACTATTAATTTCCGTTTATATTCAAATATAATCATTTTCAAGATTAATGTGCTTATAATCAAGTTTAATGTGGTGAGTTATGTAAGTCTTTGTTTCAACCATATTTCAGGACTCATGGCATGAATTGTACATTGGCAAGGAGACCAAGTTCAGAAATGTCAGGTTGGGGACAAGGTGTACATTGACTACAGTAGACCCTGACAAAGGAGAGAAAGATAAAGACATGGAGCCTTTAAAAACTCTGAGAAAGTATGTTTGGATTCTTTCTTCTTTTGTATTACTTGAGGTTAAAGTCAGTCAGTAAATTTGGTGATTAGAATAAATAAGAGGCATCGAGTGAAATTTTGTTGATTTATATAGAATTATACCTTTGAATTAGGTGTGCTCTTATCTGTTGAATATGCCCTATACGCCCTTCTCTCCTTTCCAGTTACCGTCTTCACCCTGGCTGTGGCGATGCTCCTGTCTTTGCTATCAACCTTGTTGTAGATAATGTGGGAAAAGTCTGTGTTGGAGACAAAGTCTTTGCAACAATGTTCTGACAGTCATTTTATAATATATGCAAAGATTTTAACGTGAAAATATTTTGCCTGCTGCACTTCCATTCTTTCTTTACATGTAGAATGAATAGGCTTTTGCTCATGGAGATAACAACTTATACATGTATGTTAAGTAGATAGGGGAATATTTGTAAGAATTATTATGGTAGGTTTTTGCCCCCCCCCCCCCCAAAAAAAAAAAAAAAAAAAAAAGAGAAAGAAAGAAAGAAGTGCACGAAATTAATTGAAGAAAATTTGGAGGTTTTTATAAAGGGCATGCAAATGTCACACAATTAAACCTCGTTGTTGGAGTGAACCAGTAGGACGAGGGTTCAACCCTGTCCACGGACACACCATTCCTTCATGGTGCATCTTCTCTAGGCACTGTGCGCTAAGGGTTGAAATATGTAATGGATATAGTACTTCTGGCAATGAAATATATTCTTTGCTAGCTTTCAGCGCCTAATGCGTCAGCTGGGCTTCATCTTCCCGAGGGAGGAGAGATAGTTTACGGCCAGTTTTTATGAGGGCTCAGTCTTTTGTAAACCGCAATGAAACATAGTAGAGTGCGATATGAAAGGACCAAACTTTACTTTTTTGTATATTTGTTTTATTAAAAATAAAATATGAAGCACCTAGATCCTGCACGCTTCTGCCCAGAAATAATCCTACAGTAGCGGGTTTAGAGGGGGGGGATCAGAGGGGTCCTGACCCCCCCCCCCCCCTCTTCGATTTCTGAAAAAAAAATCACATCGATGGCCCCCTCTTGAAATTAGAATTTTTGTTAACCGAATTATAGTTAACTGTACCAAGTGGTACCGTTCGACCTCTAAAATAACAAAATTTATCGGGGCCCACGCCAACGGGGGGGAGGAAGGGGCGGGTGAGGGTCATTTTTTTTCACTCTCAAACGGGGCCGTGCTGAGGTATTTTTCACCAGACATGAATTCTAAGGGCAACAGTGGATTCATATCAGCCTCCGATTGTTTTTTCCCCTAAAATTCATGAACCGATCCATTTTTTGGAGGTTATTATAAAACGAATATTTTGCCTTTTTTACAAGGGTAAAAGGCAGCTACATGTAGGTCGCTCTCAGTTTTACAGGTAAAATCAAGGTTCGGTCGTTCAAAGGACGCACAGACGGCTTTACACTGAGACACGATTTAATTGTTTTGGCGACCGTTGAACGTCCTGACCACATTTTTGATCGCAGAAAGAACGCAGAAAGGACGCCGTCCAGTGTAAAGGGGCCTTCATGTATCGATCAGCTTTCAAAATAAATAGAATATTCAGCACCCTTTTATACTAGACAGATACTGTGTCTGTGCATTTTTTCAATAACTAAATTATTTTTAGACTAATTATTTCATAAGCCCTGTTTTATTGTCTATATTTGGTAATAAAACGGTATTTGGACAGTATATGAAGTAGCGTCATTAAAATTACCGACTCGACCTGACCGGCATTTGTTTGTAGAGGTCAACTTCCTTATAAGGAAAAGTAGATCTACGTGTGCATGTCGAGTACAAATATGGAAAATGCTAGACACCCAAACCGAATAAAGAGGTAAGAGAAGAATTTCATCAGCTGTGTTATGTTATAAGAATGATGTAATTTTTCTTCAGTCAACAGCTAATATTTTACCTCCAATATTTCGATGTCTAGCAGGACATCTTCATCAGGGAATGAGGCCATTCACCTGGAGAAAAATTACATCATTCCAATATAGAGGTGCATTTCACATGCTGAAGTGTCCAAAAATAAAATTGAAGGAATTCAAAGTTGTGTTCAATTTTTATTATTATATTATTACAGTGGCGGATTTAGAGAGGGGGTCAGGGGGCTGGTTGGCGTTTAAAATAGGAGACCTACGTCCATACTGTAAAAAGGGAACAGTAGAAATTTGATATTTTGCCAAGTGCCTATANAAAGTAACTATGGGGCAAAAAATATGATCACATCATTTTGTAAAGCTAAGACAGTGCTAAGAAAGCGTCGGCAGTGAGTCCAAATGAATAATTTAGCATCTTAAAGTAACTATTAAAGAGACTGGATGGGGGGCCAACTAGCCCCGGTCTCCCCTATTTGTGCAATGCTGAGAGAAACATACAGCCTAGCGACTTCACCACGCCTATCCTGCGTCCTCTTCTCACAGTCAGTGTCTAGCTGTCAAGTGACTATTCTGGACGACTGCTCCCACTACGCTGAGCTACGTACTGTGTAAATGATACAACAGGCTTTACACATTGTCGAAGTCATCCTTATCTCACAAGAAAGGCAAATCTACGTCATCTTGCAAATTAATTTATCAAATCAAATATTTTTAAAGATGCATATGAAGTCAATATTTGCCACAAAAGCTAACCAAATGCCAGTATATAGTTTCAAGTAGTATAAATAAGAGAATTGCCAAAAGACACTGTTTAATTTTATCCGAAAAATTATATTTGAACGGATTTTTCTGCAAGCGTTCTATGCTGTATATCAATAAAGTAGGTCACGAAAGTAGGTTAAATTTCTGACCAAAATTTTAAAGAAAGGAGAAGTCTATAACTCTTTTATGGCAGATCGAGCGATTTATTCAGTTTATCCCTTGACATATTGATTTTATTTGAGTCATATAAGAAACTAATAGAAGTGGTTTATATGTTTTACTGGGAATCCACGCTCCACCGATGTGTACCTTTAAGCTCTTGGCTGATAGAGATTATTCAAGTGTTTTAAAATCCCTCGTTGTAGAATGCACTAAGACCTAATTTTTTGTCCACTCAACACTGTTGGAAAGTTATTGGTTTAAAAAGATATAGTTCTTTCACCTCTCTATTGTCATGTTAACGCACCGGTTTGGCTAGTTTTGTCCATTTGGCAGTAAAGACGCCACCAAATGTCGCCAAATATACATACAATTAGCATCAGAATGATATCTTCAAAAGTCGATGCTTGCCGAGACGGTTAGAAACCTGACCACAAAATGTGCATTAAACTGTTTATTTCTTGAATTGTAGGCGTTTGTGGGAAGATACCGCACACCCTTAAACCCACAGACATACGCTTTGACTGAATTTAAAAAAAAACCGTGAAAAAAGAATATAGTTCCTAATGAACATCCTAATTGCAATGCATGCTATATCTCCAAAGATATAAACATATTAGCAACAAAACATTTGCCGAATATAATAAGCTATCTTATGATTATTTTCGAATGAAATTGCAAACATCCTTAAATTGATAATTAGGTCTTAAATAATTGGTTATATTTTTACTTACTTGGTGATCATTTGAGAATTTTACACTTTCAGACACCCGAAACTTATAAATGTTTTAAACAATATGTTCCTCATGTTTAAAATTGTATAATTCCTTTTGGTTCTCCATTAGTTAAAAAGTATATAAAATTAAATATAATATTATACAAGTATGCACTTAAGTGGCAAAAATCCTAGTTTTATGTTCAGCATATCAAAACGAATAAAGATGAGATTTAAGACTGATAAATGTAACATAACTGTCACAAGGACAGCATGTTATGGGAAAGCTGAGTGTTACAGTGGCCATCTTGAAATTCAAGCGACTAGAGGCATTGCAGGTTTAACGACCACCACACCAATACATCAAATATCTATAAAATGTATAATACACCAAACCAAATGTCAAAGAAATAAAAAATAAAATAAAAATTTGACAATGGTATGAACAAACTGGCCACCAACTTCAATTTGTAGACATGATGAGAATTCAAGATGATTTGCTAGCTCATAAAATGTCCTAGTCTCAACTTAAGAAATGATGTTTACTGTACTTTTTATATTTGATATATGTGATATGTTCACCTTCTCTAACATGTTGATTTTACGTTCGACTTAGTTACATCATTCAGTGTTGTAAATGTAAAAGCATAGAATCCAGTCAATGAAGCAAGGTATTGGGAAGATAGCGCTTTTCCCAAACCCGGGGCCAACTTAATTTGTCACAAACAAAATCAATATCGTGCCGTGCTTCATCAGTAACCTTGTCCCACTGTAATCCTTGTTGTACCTTACTTTTAACAGATGCTCGACTTAAAGGCGACCCTCTCTGAGAATCGACGCATAGTGCCCCAGCACTAAGAACTTTTAAGTATCTTGGTAAGTCCAAATATTCGGCCATAGCGTCACATGCAGCATCAAAATTAGAAATTAAATCTTCATAGCAAAGAGCAACTATGGGCACTCCCCTTTCAACATGAGACACATAATTGGAACAATGCTCAATCCAGAATACGCAGTAGAGGCCGAATGGAGTTACAGACGACCAGAACTTTTCTTCATTTGCCCACCGGTATTTCTGGTCTCCAGAATAAACATGGTGGCTGGGGTGCCACTTGGCAAAAGCTGGGAAGAGGAATCGTAGTACCGTGTTTAATTGAACCGTATACAAAAACCGAGGAAGAGACGGTCCACAGAAGCAACGTACATATGATTTTATCGTGTCCAATCCTTGTCTATACAGGAACATGTGAGAAATGTCCGGGAAATATTTAAAAATCTTGTAAACATGCTCGACGGCGCAGTTACGTGGTTTGATAGCAATCATGGATACTTTTCTTTGCATTGGCTTGCATAATACGCGTATCATGGCAACTAAAATTTTATCATACAATTCTTCAGATATCTTTGGTTTTAAATAAACAAGGTTGGTAAATGTGTCCGGTTCAGCAAAAGTAATGAGACCAGGTACGGCCTGCAATATTTGGCCTAAAAGAGTGGATCCACAGCGACCAGTATTTGTCAGAAACATCACTTTATACTTGGGATCTCCTATTTTCTCAGCAACTCGTACCATGGATGATATTGGCATCACAATAATTCTCTTAGCATTTTTCAGTTGAGCATGATACAAGAAGGGGTCTGTATCTGGGTCATATATATCGACGTCTTTCGGGGTTTCAACAAATACCGCTGTTGTTGCCGTTAAACAATACAATGAAACATTGTCTTTGAAAATGACCTCAGGATGGGTAAAACCTTCATGGAGACCGACAAAATTCTCTGGTATGGACAACCAGTGGTAAAACATCTGGTGGCGCCATAGAATCGTCATACGGTGTGCTGAAAGATCATAACATTCTCCATTTTTCACTCGCCGTTTATGTGCCCTTACACCAGAAATGGCCCAAACGCCCCCTTGCACAACGCCAAAACATAGTCTGAACATTTTATAGAGAAAATGCCGGAACAGAATCCAAGTGACAGTAAGCAAGTACCTCATGATGTCTAGGCCTACTTTATCTTACCTGTGCTGCTGAAATTTGCGTATTTATGCCCTTCTCGAGTCCCATTGACCGCAAAGATTCTCAACGCTGAAATCATTGGTGTGCTCCCATTGGTCAGAATTATTGTGCTTATTTCTAATTATTAATCTATTGCCATCACCGCAGCAACAAGTGCTCGATTGAATTTCCAGAACCTTTTTTAATATTTGAAATCTGTAATCCAGCCCAAGCCCAGGCACATGTCACATTTAGATTGTACCACTGCAAATTTCTTCTCAATGGGTGTTCTTGATGAAAATCGGCGAAAATTCAAATGTCTACAACGCATCCAAAATATCCCTGTTCGTGACCCTAACTGTGACAGTCACCTTACACCCATCCTCCAACAATTTCACCTGTTACCCACTAGAGCACGGATTCTCCTTTTAGTTTATGCCCACGCTATTTTTTTTAACAAGTTCGACCATTCAATGGAAGTTATAGGCATGCACCAGAATTTTCATAATTAACTAGAAATATGCTTCGTATCCACAGGTTGCTTAGAGAAATAATAGACATCCTGGACGGGCTAATACACATCATGACGTGATGTGGTAGCCCTAAATATTTTACTTTATACGTTGTCCCAGGTCGACGTCACCTGGAGCCGCTTTTTTATGTTTAGGCCTCTTCTACGACGGCAGACCTTCAGGTGAGCGTTATCAGGCCTTCCCAACTACCAGACTCGGCACCTACGGGTCCAGTATAAACCGGTTTATCTGACCACACTACCCGTTTTCAAGGTGTGTGTCAGATCGCATAAAAGAGTATCAGCCACCACACCGATTTTACCTGGTGCGCGATGTGATGACGATGATCCTAGTAATAGATAGACCCCGAGTCAGCGAGGGTTATGTGGCATACACGAGTGCAAAGCACGAGTGGGTGTCACATAACCCTCGCTGACGAGGGATCTATCTTATTTAGACCACGGGTCCATTAGCGGGTTATAACGCATTCATGCAAGACGTGCGGTTATGCGAGTTACACCACGTCTGAATCTTTTGTTCTTCACTTCCACCGTGGTCTAAAGCGGGGTTGGAAAGTAGTGCATCTCATCTACATTCATGCGCTGCTGCAATTTTCCCTGTTTATGCTAAAAATCTGACAATACCGCAATTTTTAACATAAAACATAGCCAATGACCTGTCGGGGGTTAAATATTTTCTGGACGAGATTCAGTGAGTCGTCTGTCGCCATGTTGTCACTCGGAACTACACCAATGTCTCCGCACTCGACAATAGTATGGAGCTTGCGGAATGAGCCGAGGATTGCCGATTTCCATGTTGTTGTATTCATACGACTCCTACTTGACGAAAACGAGGCGCGATACCCGGATGACAGGTAGGCTTACAAAATTTGTGATGGGGTATGATACTCTTTTATGCGATCTGACACACACCTTGAAAACGGGTAGTGTGGTCAGATAAACCGGTTTATACTGGACCCGTAGGTGCTGAGTCTGGTAGTTGGGAAGGCCTGGTTATGTGTGGCTTTCTTTCGACTAGACTGATTACGTGTGTGTGTGATTGTGTGTGTGTGTGTGTGTGTGTGTGGGGGAGAGAGGGAGAGAGAGAGAGGAGCTGTCGAAGTCTTTCTCAGCTAGTAGCGCCCCTCATCCATCAATGATTAGGACAGCGCAGAATAATAGACAAGGAAAGCGAAGACTTCGCCAGAGGTGTCAAGGAGGCCATACATATAAGAACTTAAAAGAACTTCAATAGGGACGAGGGACGCTACCAGCTGGTCTGCCACATCTATGATGACCTCTTGGGCCTGGGGGCCCGTAGGGGACATTCATAGGATAACTGGTTAATGAAAACATCTCAGCGTTTGATCACCAGCGCACGACCAGTTTGTTCTGAGGAAGGCTCTTGAGTAGAGCCGACAATTTGACGGTAGGAAAACGTTGTCTGTGAAATAATTAATTCAGCAATTCAAAACCGACATTCACTGTTGATAAAAAAGATTTTAATGCCTCCAATTTAATATGTATCTGTACAGGAAAAAAGGTGTTGATATCCACATTTCCTATCATTTAACAGGGGCGGATCCAGAGATATTTTCTGACAGTCTTCCAAGTTATCTTTATTGATCCACCCTCCACTTTTGACCGTCTTCCGACCGAAAAATTTAGAGACCCGTCAATGTAAACTTGAAAATCTGACCGTCTTCCGGAAGACCCAAAAGACGGCCTCAATCCGCCCCTGTTTATCGACCCAAACTTATCTGATGTTCCAAATTTATGTTCCAAATTAAATTCAATGGAGGTAAAATGTCATTTAAATTGTAAAGACACCGGCAAATGCCACCTTATTTTTGTATAATTAGCATCAGAATGTGATCTTTAATATGTTTGCCAAGACAGGATTCATACCACAAAATGCGTATAAATTGTTTATTTCTTGAATTGTAGGCGTTTTGGTATGAAGGGGTTACAAGTAGTATGCTAGAGTATTTTGGGAAAATACAAGATGGCAAACATTTGCTATATCAATACCGATTCATGGGTTTCAATTACCCACGTTCATTCCCAACATTCTGAGAGACCAGCAAATGAGAGACCAACAAAAATCATTACTTTTGGGGGCAGTATACGGACCTCGAGGACGTGGTAGACCTTAAACGCGATACAGCGTTGACGATCTGACGGATCTCTGTGGGTCAATGCTTCAAGCGGACAGAATGGCACAGAACCGTGACCAGTGGAGAGTTTTTGCGAGGGGGGCACGGCGGTTCGGCGCCAACCCAACCGTTCTTGATGACTGATGATGATTCTCAACATATAGGTCCATTTGAAAAAAAAGTGATAAATGACGTAAAAGATATAGTCGCAAATTTTACTTTTTTTTAATCTCTGTTGACAGAAAGAAAGTGATACAAGTGACAGAAAGAAAGTGGCTTTTTTTAAGTAAACCATTGAAAAAATAAAATTCATGCCTAGTACGGGTATGAAGTAAAGTAGATTAAGCCTGTTTTGGTATCGGAAGTTTTAAAAATAACAACCTTTTTGGGGATAATATCCCCATGTTATTAATAATAATAATAAAAATTAGACTGCACTAAAGGAGTATAAGATGTAGGCCTACGAAATGCACGTTTATTTTACTGACGCATTTTGTGTTTAACCTGAAGTATATTTTTCCACAATGCCTGTTAACGAATGTTTTGCAAATTACTTTCTATGAAAATGTTTCCTCTTAAACATTTGACTGCGTCCTGTCACCATATTCTCTTGCTACGTGTAATAATGGGTGTATCTACATTGAAGATTTTATTAATGGATAAAATATTTTAAAAATCAAACAACTAAAAATGGTGACGTGCGCCAAAAGGGTAACGAAGGTTTTTCATTTTTTAAAAATCCGGCGACACCATGAAAGTAGCCACAAGCTTTTTATGAGTTATTTTAAATAAACATTCAGGACATTTTTTGAGACGTTAGACACCCTACTCGCTTCCAATACTTTGGTAAAAATTATCTAGATCCATTGGAGAAAGTGAGACGGTGCCACTAGTGACAGGAATGAAGGTTAAAAATCAAGTCCGTTCATGTTTTTGTGTGAGAACAGATAAATCTAGTACTTATTTTTATTTTTATTTTTATTTTGGTTGCTAGATTGATGTTCCTTAAGTTCCACTTGAACAAAAAAACTTCTGCATACTTTAAAAAAAGTTAAATGGACCATTACATTGAGAATAAGTCCAGTCAACATGCAATAATGGCTGTGATGTGGGTCCCTCCATGAGCTCCATGTGGGTCCAATGTGAGCAAGCCCAGTTGGCCTAAAATAAAGGTCCCATATAGGATCCATACGGTCCAACTGGGCTAATGAAGTTTTTTTTCTGATAAAGGGCCACAAAATAGGCAACCTTTTATCCAACCAATCTAGAATACCATACAGTCCAATTTAGTCCAAATAGGCTCAAATATGCATTCTCAACAACAGACAGTGTACATTGTGTAAACGTAGCGACCCATGAAATAGGCCAGTCCATATGAAGCCCATCAGGGACCCAAGATCTGTCTAATAAGCCCAACGCCTAGCCCCAGATGTGTGCACCGCCAGAGAAACTCATGGGGTCAATAAAAATAAAGTAAAAATCAGTTTTTTTCTCATTTTTTAACATCCTTTTTATATCTATGATATATCTTTGGTGGATAGCGAGAAAATCCAAGACAGCTGTCATTTGCCATAGGGTTCATTGTAAAATAAAAATAATTAATTTGGTTTGTTTCTCATTGTTTGTGACATCCTCATAAATTCTTTCATACTTTTCTAGTGGTTAACAAGTGTGTATCCATTGAGCATTTTGAGAAGATGGCCGCCAATTGCCATACGAATACTGGTTCTCGAGTTTCAATTACTAGCCTACCTGAAAAACATATGGTTCATTATAAAATTTCAATTAAATTCAGTTTGTTCCTCGATCTTTGCCACAACATTATTAACCCTGTGATACATACTTGGTTAATAACAAGTGTGTATCCTGTGGTATTTGAGAAAATTCCAGATGTCTGTCATTTTCCAGAGGGTTTCAGTTACTGCCAGTAAGAGTATGGGGTCCATTATAAGATTAAGGTAACTTACGGTTGTTATCCAGTTTTTTTATTATCCTTATTTCTTCTGTCTGTTTATCTGCTGGATAACATTAAACAAGTGTTCATTTTAACAAAATCCAAGATGGATGTCATTAACCTTAGGAATACTAGTACATTGAGTTTCAATTACTGCTAGGGAGATATGTGTTCATTATCAAATTAGTTTTGTTTGATAGTGTTTTCTCACTTCCTTAATATCCCTATGACAAAAATTTGTTGTACACCAAGTGAATTCACTTGGGTTTTATGAGAAAACCGCGAGGCGACTGCCATTTGCATTGGGAAAACAAGTAAATCCCCACAAACTAGTATTTCTACTAGTATTTCTAAAGCACATGGGTGCCATCTTTTTTTTCTCAAAATGCTCAAAGATATACACTTGTTACATAGCAGATGTATATCATAGTATCATAGGGGAAATAGAAATATGATAAACACTGAGAAACACACTAAAGTTTATTACATATAATAATGTCTTGCTGGCAGTTAAACTGAAACCCATGCACAAGTATTCTTAAGGAATGGTGGCCATCTTAGATTTCCTTACAATACCCTAAGTAAAGTAAAAAATGTGGCAATTATTTTCCAATCAAACCATAGATTGTCTGGACTATAAATTTGCAGCCAGAGATGAGAATTTCAGATGATTTGCTAGCTCATAAAATGTCATAGTTTCAACATTAAAGTGAAGTTTACTTACTATTCTAGTAATTCATATCTTTAAAATATGTGATATTTTCTCCTTCTCTGACATTTAACTTTACATTCGACTTAGATACCTCTTTCAGTCTTGTATATATAAAAGCATAGAATCCAGTCAATGAAGCAAGGTATTGGGAAGATAGCGCTTTTCCCAAACCCGGGGCCAACTTAATTTGTCAGAAACAAAATCAATATCGTGCCGTGCTTCATCAGTAACCTTGTCCCACTGTAATCCTTGTTGTACCTTACTTTTAACAGATGCTCGACTTAAAGGCGACCCTCTCTGAGAATCGACGCATAGAGCCCCAGCACTAAGAACTTTTAAGTATCTTGGTAAGTCCAAATATTCGGCCATTGCGTCACATGCAGCATCAAAATTAGAAATTAAATCTTCATAGCAAAGAGCAACTATGGGCACTCCCCTTTCAACATGAGACACATAATTGGAACAATGCTCAATCCAGAATACGCAGTAGAGGCCGAATGGAGTTACAGACGACCAGAACTTTTCTTCATTTGCCCACCGGTATTTCTGGTCTCCAGAATAAACATGGTGACTGGGGTGCCACTTGGCAAAAGCTGGGAAGAGGAAGCGTAGTACCGTGTTCAATTGAACCGTATACAAAAACCGAGGAAGAGACGGTCCACAGAAGCAACGTACATATGATTTTATCGTGTCCAATCCTTGTCTATACAGGAACATGTGAGAAATGTCCGGGAAATATTTAAAAATCTTGTAAACATGCTCGACGGCGCAGTTACGTGGTTTGATAGCAATCATGGATACTTTTCTTTGCATTGGCTTGCATAATACGCGTATCATGGCAACTAAAATTTTATCATACAATTCTTCAGATATCTTTGGTTTTAAATAAACAAGGTTGGTTAATGTGTCCGGTTCAGCAAAAGTAATGAGACCAGGAACGGCCTGCAATATTTGGCCTAAAAAAGTGGATCCACAGCGACCAATATTCGTCAGAAACATCACTTTATACTTGAGATCTCCTATTTTCTCAGCAACTCGTACCATGGATAATATTGGCATTACAATAATTCTTTTAGCATATTTCAGCTGAGCATGATACAAAAAGGGGTCTGTATCTGGGTCATATATATCGACGTCTTCCGGGGTTTCAACAAATACCGCCGTTGTTGCCGTTAAACAATACAATGAAACATTGTCTTTGAGAATGACCTCAGGTTGCGTAAAACCTTCATGGAGACCGACAAAATTCTCTGGTATGGACAACCAGTGGTAAAACATCTGGTGGCGCCATAGAATTGTCATACGGTGTGCTGAAAGGTCATAACATTCTCCATTTTTCACTCGCCGTTTATGTGCCCTTACACCAGAAATGGCCCAAACGCCCCCTTGCACAACGCTAAAACATCGTCTGAACAGTTCATAAAGAAAATGCCGGAACAGAATCCAGGTAACAGTAAGCCAGTACCCCATGAAGTGTAATCTTACTTTATCTTACCTATGGTGTTGAAACTTGCGTATTTATGCCGTTCTCGAATATAAATATCTACATTGCATCCATCCAAGGAAGCAAAATTAAGTGGCACTGGTGCACAGTACGAAAGTTTTGTGAAACGATATACATATTTTGTGAACATTTTTTGTTTACATGAAAAAGTAGGGCATGACCCAAATTTTCACTTGTCAGTACCTGTTATATGGTAATATTACCTGATATATTTAGCAGAATGCCGCCATAAGACGGGATGACCTTGATAATTGAATAACCAAGACGTGAAGCTATGTTAAAGGGTCTGAAAAAAGCGCTGAGTACTACTTTATTATTCATACGCATAGTGGTTGACAGTGTACACAAATTTACATAGAATCTAGGCATAATTCAGCAACATTGAAAGTGCATACTTTTGCAATACTGATACATAATAAGAGCAAATATCTTATTCTTATTAAAATCATACTTTTGGCACGGAGACAGTTTTGTTGCTACGATTACTGGATCCAGCCCGTCATACTTTAAAATTTTACACGATTTGGGGTCATATTTTACTGCAACTTGTAAACAACATCGCTAAAACAAGCTAATGAACAGAGTTTTATTATTTTCCAGATGTTTGCTATTTATCACAGTATTTCGACGCGCCTTATGAGACACGGGCTTCTTTGTTTCAGCAATTTCCATTACTTAGTGACTACTTTTGTATAAAGTAGAAGTCGCCGAGAGCCGCTTTTAGACTTTTCGGCACAGTCTCGAAATTGAAATCGCTCAAACGTTTTAATGTAAATGTTAAAACATTTACATTGAAGGATGTGATGACGCAAACAATTACTCTCTGTGACGTGATTCGATGCCCTAATAGCCTTTAATACTTGCTAACTTTTTTTACATATTATGATGGCATGAGGTTATTTACTTGAGTTAATCAATTGATTTATGACGTGATGATGGTGACAATTATTCTGTGACGTATTGCGTTAGCACTATGACGCATTAAACAGTGCTACTTTATGACGTCATTTCTTTAACATTGACATGACGTTATCAGTTTTAGTTATGACGTGATGATGTAAACAATCGGATTTGAGGACATGACAAGGTAAACAATGATATTTTATGACGTAATGACATCAACAACACTGATGATTCAAGTCCATGGTAACAAAACAAAAATGAAGTTGAAAGCAATAATCTTTTTCATTGCTTTTCTCGGTTTCTCAGGTGAGTTTTAAATATCAAAAACTGGCAATGAAATGATAAATATTACACCATTCATTCATTGATTGCCTTTGGAGTTTATTAATGACATTAAATATATCGCACACATTCCTGCTTTGAGTTGCAGGTTTAACCTATGGTGCAAAAATTTCGATAGAAATTCATCACGAGGAGAATTTTGCTGTTCAAGGTTGGTAGCCGTTTTGTAAAATTTCTCTCATTAAAATAATAATGGCATTTTATTTTTGTGTTATGCTACTTATCTAACTGCATTCGTCATATAAAGTTGTATGGGTCTTGTATAATTTTTGATTTATTCATATACAGGTAAATCTTACTGTTTATGTACAAAACAAATAAGATCTGCATTATGAAGAATGTTCGTACATTTTCTTTTTTGATGCGTGTGTGTGTGTGTGTGTGTGAGAGAGAGAGAGAGAGAGAGAGAGAGAGAGAGTGAGAGAGAGAGAGAGAAGGGGGTGAAAATTAAGAAAAATAAAATATGCAAATGATATGTTATCATTTGTTTAGATATTGAAAACCAAGACCACATTATTCTTAAAAGAGAGGTTGATGCCAGTCAGTCAGACTTCGTGCACAAAACAAATAGCAGACGTAAGCGTGCATCAGGGGGATGGGTCGTTGATGATGAAAGCTGGAAGGTAGACTGGACCACTCCAAAACAGGACAAGCAAGGGAACAAACCTAATGTTCCCGATTACAATGTAAGACGGACATCTTGCGGTTTGTAAGGAAATTTACTGTTTGTAAGCGCTGTATCTCTGTGTTTTAAAAGGGTGTTAGATACTTGTTTGTTTTGTTGACAAGATATGTAATTCGTAATTTGGTAAATTTAACACCTCGCCCCTACAGTAAAAAACGAGATGTAATGGACTTCGTGATCATAATGTATATTGGTAACGAATTAGTCCTTGGCTCCCTTGTAATAATTTGACTGGCTAAAGTTAGCCACGCCAAATATAGCAATTACTTGACTTTTACTTTGAACTTCATACCAATGAATATCTCAATTTGGACTGCACAAAATGCTCAAAAGAAAGTGATTGTGAGCAGATTATGTGGTATGATGGTGTCGAAATTCTTCACTTGGTACAGGTTGTCGAAGAAATTGAAATGCGCGCCAAGACTAAGGATATGGTACAAGAGGTGGTGATACCAACGATTTCCACCGCGATTCCGCTGGCATTCGTAGTGTTGATCATTGCCTGCTGCTGCTGTTTGAAGAGAAAGATTTCAGCAAAAGCTTCGCCAAATAAGTTTGTTCAAGGTGAGTTTTTAAAGAACAAATAAGTATAATAAGTAATTTGATTAATAATAATAATTTCTACACCTTAAATCAATCGTGATATTTTCCAAAATTACGCCAATATAAGGTACAAAGTGCTAGATAAATGTTATTTTGCCTTTATTACGTTTGATTCCTTTTTTGTTTGTTCTTTTTAGAAGTACCAGACATCAAAGTTTAGTGGTTTTGCGTACAAATTCTATTGAGAAACACATTAAATTTTACTATTCCAGGCGCTATCAATAAATATGCCCCTGGTGCTAATGTCAGGGATGGAAAATTAGAAGTTCGTGAGATGTCAGAGGCTGAGAAAGAAGCCTTGGGAGAGACTATGGGAGCCATCATCGATCTAAAATAACGTGGAATTCCATTGCGCGCTTATCATCACAACTAACACATCCATTTTGTCATACGCTCTACTGCAATCCGTCCCACAAGATTTACGTACAAAAGCTTATAACGGGCGGTAGTATATATATATATATATATATATATATATATATATATATATATATATATATATATATATATATATATATATATCAGAACAAAAATGAAAATTAATATACAAGGAGTCAATTGTCAGATTATTATTTTTATTTTGATAGCTGTACAGGTTTCAAAAAGAACTTCAAATATATGTACATTCCCAAAAAATTCAATATAAAATAATACTAATAATAGTAATGATAATAATTGTTATGAGTGATAAATGTGAGACAACACATCACACATCAGTTCTACTATAAGACACCATTCTTGCTGGTTGGTGATTTTGTCAAATAATGTGTATACCAAATAACAAATGCAGTACAACGTAAGGATTGCTATAAAATAATTAAAGTATCCTTTTATATCCCTTTCAAAGAAAGAGAGAGAGAGAGAGAGAAATCAGGCTTAAATGCATAAACATGGCATAATTTAAAGCCAAGGCACTAATATAGGCAGTATTCACTTAATAAATAGACGGAAGTTGTTAATTTCAGATCGTTACATCAAATAAGTGGCTTGGGTCACATAAATTGATGCTTTGCACAAAAAGGCTCACATTTTACACCAAAACTTGTACTGTGACCTGACAAAGCATTTTATTAATCCCTTATCTATAAACACTCTGCCACAGAAGAAATAAAATAGCAATGGTAAAAAAGGGAAATCTAACTCCCTTTTCATTTTTTTTCAGTACAAACGAGTACTTTCCTATCAATGATCAATAATGAAAATCAGTGTAATAATATTTTCATAATGATATAAATAATTAGAAATGCATAAATGATAGTATCATCAGTAAGATGCTGAAGTTATTCTAAAATATATTTACTTTATGTTTGGAAAAATTGATGGGTGTTAAAGTGCTTCGACAGTCTGCACTTTCTAGTAATACCTTAATGACAATGTCTACAAGTTCTAAGAGAACTAACCTTTTTTATACGTATCCCTTTAATGTGTGTATATAAGGGAGGGGTAAAGATTAGTTGGGACTTTTTTTGATAAGTAATCTATGTGGACAAACTGAAGGTAACATACCAGTGTGTTTCAATTGGCACACTGGCATGACCTAATAACATTATTTATAAAAATAATACAAAATTTGAATCCAGTTTCTAGGAATTTACACTATACAGCTCCTATTCTGGTGAGCACCATGTCTTTTTTTTCTCCATTTTTTTCTCCTTCTAAAAAGTAACAAACTGCATAATTCATAACAATAACCTGCACAGTAATGTAACAAAAGGGAAACAAGTCACACACCACTCAAGTGCAGGGAGGATCAACTAATTCTTTTCACTTCCCCTTTGGACTTATATGTCTTTATGTCAATCAAATAAATAAGAGCTATCAGTTAAAATTTTTACACATAACATGAAAACTGTCAAGAATCCGACTCAACCTGCTTTTTTCTTACTTTGTATCTTATAAACAAACCAGCAAATGGTCTGAATTTCCCTCTTCCATATCCATCCTAAATATCATAAACTTCTCTACCATGGTGAACAAAGAAAAACAAGTATATTATATGAAAGCAGCATTTTAACAATTGTGGCTTTTGTTAGTTGTAAGCTTCTCTTTACATACCATCTTCAGTAAAGTAGTTTGAAACAGTTACCTGCTACATTGTTGCATATGTACAAATAATGAGGGTAACCAGAAAGGCCATTCACATACGTATGAAAATTCAGCTACACCAAGGATACTGCAAATAGAGAATTGCAAGCATAAGACTACATCCAATCTCCAACAGCCATTCTATCTGTCGGTTCCATCAGGTATAATACTCCTGGAATATTATTTAATTTTTAACATAAAGTGTACAACTGTTCAATATCACTTATAATGTTCCATTCCAAGCATCTCTTTTTTCAGTGAAGGGTTTATTTACATTGTCTGTAATTGTATCTTTGCTGCCTGTCCATAACTTTCTAAGACTGTTTTTACTTCAATGTTCATTTGACCGAAGACTGCACTGACAGCTTTGGCAAAGACTAAAAGTGTATATAAACTTCTATTACATGTGAAATCACCTTTTTTATTTTCTTTCATTCCCCATGGAAAATACATAGTGATCCCGAACTTAAGATACAGTAAAATTGAGAAATGTTTGGCAGCCAACTGATCAATTTACATTTAGAAGGACACAAACTTGTTTAGCAGTCTTTGTCAGGGAAGATCCTCAAGACCAACCACCAGTGAGCTTGAAAAACATTTCCTGGTCCAATGTCTGATTTTTGTCACTAGATCGCATGGATAAGAAAATGTATCCTCCTATGAATTCATGTATAATTTTACAGTCTGCATATGGTGACTTGAAGGCCACTTCTTCTTCCTCAAATTGCACAAGCACCTCGCGGACTTCCCAATTTACGTTCCATGCTTTCATTGTACTGTACCGCCACGTCTTCAAGCAATCTCCGTTGCTGAGGTCCATCTTCATGATTCTGTTGTGAGCAATACCAACAAGCTCCTGAAGAAGACAAAAATGTATTCTGTCAGAAAGCAGTTCACATATGAATAACATCCAAATTGAAGGCAACAATGCCAACTAAGTATTAATTATACAGTTTTAAAAAACAACTTTACAAATTTGATCCCTTTTCAACCACACCCACATCATTTTCTTCACATTAATAAATAAATAAATATATTTATTTATTTATTTTAAAAAAATGCATCATCTCCTACCTCTTTCCTGTTATTTCTGAACTTGACAAGGAAGTAGGTGATGCCAAACTCAGGCAGGGCCTGCCATGCCTTGATAAAGTTGAGCTTGGCTTCTGTCAGTGTCATATCCCGCACATTTGCATGACTGTCAACTATTCTCTGCACGAGCTGGAATAAAAAAAAACAAGGAAATCTTACCTCATGACATTTCGTCATTGTCATTCTCACTTAACAATTTGTATACGAAGCAAAATAGAAGTTTCCCAACTTTCTCATACACTCAAATTCAACATGCTCTGTTCACACATCTTTAAGTACAAGTAAAATATAACTACATTACTATAGTGTAGAAAAGAAATGCTGGATAACTGGCCATTCAATTTAAATTTCCTTATCTACCTGTTTTGTTTTGAACTTCTTAAAGAATCTTGGTGCCACATAGTCTTCTGGGTTTATGTCTAGTTGGTTTGGGTTGACCGCAGGTGCAGGGGCTGGACGCTGCATACTTAAAAAGGCTTGGATGGACTGGACTTCTGTCTCATAGGTAGAATCTGCCATGGTTTTGCCTTTGGAGGCCAGTTTGAATGCTGCCATCCATTTGGCATACTGGTCTTCCTGGAAGGGGAATTAAAAATTAGATATATGTTTATACATATTTGTTAGTTTAGGGTTTCACATGTTAGTTAATTTACAGAGTTAAAATTTCCATCATAAAAAAATCACAAGGTCTTAACAATGTTTTTTTTCTTTGAGTAGAGTAAGACCATTTCAAGACAATTTGTGTTGCACTCGGTGTTCATTTCATTGAGGTCATATGTACAGGCTGTCTCTATGTTTGTAAAAAGGATTAATGTAAAGAAAGTGAAATATTTGTGTAATATTTCTTCATGCATCATTTTAAGGTAAAGAATTAAAAATAAATTTCCCAAAAGTGAACATGAAAAGACAAGTAGACTATTATATAATGCCATGAAAGGATATGAACAGCAAATTATGAATTGGAGTCAGTTTCACAAAAGAACTTTAACTCGAAAATTGGTACCATTCTAGCCCAGAAATTTGGTCTACTAAAGTCCAAAATAAGTCCAGAGTAGTCACTAACAGAAAGTAAGCATTGGTCTAAAACATAAAGATATGATTGATGTGATTGACTTCAGTTAAACATTTTTATCCAAAAAGCCTGGTGCACCATTCCTTGATGCTAAATAATACCAGTGGAGCTAAAACATAAACTTACTGTTTCACATCTGATCCATACTTCTTGCATTCCATCAGGCCCCGGAATAAAAAGCTTAATTCCATACTTTTGAGATGTGATGTTAATATCTGGTTGAACTTCACATCCTGAAAGAGTGATCATATCATATGAATGAACCATCCATAGTAGTTTTATTAGCCTACTAATGATAAAGAGGAATTCTCATTTTTGCTTAATGTGAATCTACTAATGAAAGGTTGCAATTCTCATTTCCTATTTACTTTGTATTATCTAAATTGATAGCATGATTGGATATTGTCCACTGAATTAAAATATGGTTAGATTTTAAGAGAGAATTTGGATTAGATGCTGATATGCATGAATATAGTTCAATCTATCAAAATAAGACAACTTAAAGATACAAATTAAAGATATGATATATTTTAGAAATAAGTCTTGAAAAGAAGTTTAGTTCTGTGGGCATGTGTTGAAAAATTGTTTAGAAATGTGTACCTGAATGTCATCAAGAAATTTGGCTATTCAGAGCTTAAACATACACACTTTTCATATCCCAGTAAATTTTGAGTCTTAATAAAAACAAATATCTCTTCTATAAACACTTGTTCTACCTTTCAAGTTGACCCTCATCAAGGGCTGTCCATTTGTGGTTTCTTTACTCTTGTGCATCACAAGATGTGTGTCCCTGAATGCAAACCAGTACTTCTTGAATGACTTAAATGTCAATTTCTTAGGCCTGAAAATGAAACAACAAAATACAGTACATAAGCAAAAAAAATGTACATTTTTGTTTCCTAAAGCATCATATACAAGAGCTATGTAATAGTTTTTACAGTATGAGATAGCATTAGTTTTTTAAAACTGGTGCAAGACAAAATTCCCCGTTTCTTATAACTTAGAATTCATTACTGAGGAATAAGCTGAATTATGTGGAATTGCATCATGATGGAATTTTAAACATTTAACAAGGACAAGCTAGGTAAACAGCTGCAAGAGTTTCCACCTAATACCCCTCCTAATCTTACTTGAAGAACTTGAGGTAATCTTGCAGCTCTGGTATCCTGGTTATATCCCCTGGTGATGTGATGTGAGAGCCCTCTAGTGACACCTGGAGGTCAGTTAGAGCAGCATCGATGTCATCTCCTTCCTCATTGGTAGAATTGGACTGGTCCCCATCTGGTTGGTCAGTGTTAGCCCTCAGAGAAACTTGGAGCTGAAGATTAAAATAAAATAATGAAACAAAATAAAATATTGTCACACTAAAAGACAACATCATTATCTATTTGGATTGTATTTTGTTATTTCAAGAACCACATAAGTTTAGGTGATTAACTTGGAAACAGATAACCAAATCTTATATCCATTTATCCATCCTAAGAACAGCTCAATATAATGCTTTGTAAGATAAACTGTTCTTTCATTAATAACAAAACAACAAAACGGAGAAAAATCAATGATGAAAGGAAAGCAACATCAAAGGTAGCTGACAGATTAAAGGATTTTAACAGCTTTCATTAGCACATTATTGCACATTTCCAAAAAGCTTTTACATAAAGTTATTGCAGAAAAGGTTAAACCAACAAGCTTGGACAGCTAGCCCTACTTCAGCATGGGTCTTTGAAGAAGAGACTGATAAAAAGTGGACTGCTGATGCCTTAGAGAGCAGTCAACCCCCAATGTGAGATTGCCAGGAAAAATAAACAGGATTAAATGTAACCATCAGTCATACCTGAAGAGCAGCAAACATCATCATTTCCTCCTCTGTGCAGTCAATTTCCTCTGAAATCAATGCCCACTTGCCTTGCTCGTAGATTTGGTTAATTCTCACTGCATCGTACTGTAAACAAAAGAGAGCAAGATTCAACAATCGGTTCTAACAGGCAATCACAAACCAGCTGAGTCTCTACACCATACTAAGCTCTTCTTATTCTTTTTACCCAATAATTTCAAGAAATCATGCATATACATGAAATCAAATTGTATTTTAACAGGGTGTGGGTATAAAAAGAGCATGCATTATGTGCCATTACATATTCAGACTGTGCAGTTTCTGTACTCTCTAACAGAGGCTCTTCTAGACTTCACAAAATTTCTTTAACCTTCAACCATTTTTGTAACTTAATGACATTTTCTCTTTGAATTATGTTATAATAATGTTATGTTATACAAATTAAAAAGTCTCCAATTTCATTCATTCACATTTGATCCACATAATGGAGAAGCAATTCAATGTACACAATAATTATGTTGCTGGTTTTTTTTTTTCTCTCACTTCAACTAAGAACTGCTGCAATAGAAAGATGATAAGCAAAGCCCTTTCGAGTGTAAGTTGAGATCCCTAAGATATTACAAAATACCATACTGAAAGTCAAAATGCAGATCTTCATTGATTTACAATCAAATGTCAGTCTAAAATAGATTCCCTTATTCTATTCAAGCATCATTAAGTATAGCTTTTTCAATTTGAAATGGAACATTACTGGGAAAAGACATTGCATCATCCATTTCCTGCTGCGAGATTCTTTTCCACTCAAGACAGACACTAAAAGGAAAACTGAGCCCAGGAAGGAATTGTGAAGCAAAACATCCTGATAAAAGCTTCCATATTCGAAAAACCTTTCCAGACAACACACTATGGACCTGTGTAAAATATTATCAATTCCAAAGGTTCCCTTCATTCAATACCTCAAGTCAAGCTCATGCTAAAAGCAAATACAAATTTCCTTCATTATATGCAAGATGGTTTCTAAAGGACAGTTAATAAATGCTGTTAATTCTGTTTTTCAACTATTAACTACCTTTCAACTGGAAAGCCAGATTTTATCAAATTGTTATGTCTAGAAATTACGTGCAATTGCTGCCTTAGCTTTTTTCAAAGACCTGGAAATCTTAGAGCTCAAGTTTCAGAAGATTTCGAAAACAAAAAGAGAAACTTTCCAGATCATTCTATCAGTATAAGCCCCAGAAAGATCAAACTTTATTTGATTACAGGGTATGAATGTATTAGATTGGATAGCAGGGAAGCAAAGATTAGTGCAATGTTTAGAGTACTCAAAATACAAATCATTTTGGAAATAAGTGATGACAGATCTTCCAAAGGCCAAACATATCCCATAACAATAAAACTGATCAGATAAGTCCTAAAAACCCAAAGATACTTTGTCAGAAGTTCATGTTCCAATAAGAAAAACAAAGTAGACATGAAGAAAACTTATGGTATGGAATGGAAATAGTAGTTGTCTGGTTGTTTTCCTGTTCTGAGCCAAAAGTCACAACAGAAATGTCAAGTTTTGGGCTGCCATGCTATAATTTACACAGTATTCATGCACAGAGCCAATAAATTACTTATTCAATCCTGTAGCAATGACATGTTGACCAGTGTTAACTGGTTACAGATGAAACTGAGACAATATATGTGGTCTGTATGTAACTATACTCTAATTTGCTCTGAGAATCAGTTTCCGAGAACCCTTATTCATTTACATGCATACAGTATGAAGGCCAACTATGCTTTTCCAAGAATTCTTTGAAAGTGCACATATATTGAGAGCATTTCTGTCTGCTGGAATCTTACCTTTGGATTCAGGTCATAGAAACTGTAAAACTTGAATTTGAGTAAGACTGTGTCGTTCTCCCTGATATTCTGTTCCATAAGGGACCTTGAAGAATCCAACCACCTGAAATATGGCAACAATCAACTTTATATACCTTTTATTTGCAACCAATCCTGTCTTTTATTTTAGCCACTTTTGTTTATTTTCTACAGAAAATCTCTGGTATGTTTATGTTCTAATGTATAAAACTTGGTAATCTATAATATATCAAGTGTATGAATTGGAAAAAAATTCTCAGATGCTATTTTGTAAAGTGAAATTAAAATAATATATATCAAACAGCCACTCTGAAGAGAAGGGCAGAGACAAATGTATGCTGAAAATCAATCTTCATTCACTAAATATGTATCTAAACTAAATGTGTGTATGTGTGTGTGTGTAAAATAACTTGGCAACTGAGTATTTTCACTGGTACAATTTCAGATGAGTCTGTACACAGTGTACAGTTAACTTCACATAACAAAATTGTCTTGGAGATAACTGAAAACTTAAAAAAAAAAAAAAAAACAGGAAGTTGTGGGACTGTAACATTACATTACTATGCGTCATTTTATTACAATTTATATCTTATGGGACTGACATAATCATTATAGCTGCTCACCCACTTTGACGAGACTGAGTGTTTTTACATGTCTAACAGACAGTGATATGAAGTACATACACATGTATTCCCTGTATTCTTTCTGAATACAATTTGACAATTTCCTTCCTATTACATGCAATTACATAGTTCTTTCAGGGTGACAATATAATGCTAACTCTGACAACCCTTGTATAACCACACTATGGAATCTATTTCTTCTGGCTATGACTGGTTTCATTAATACAAAGTTAAGTACTAGACTAGGGAAAATTTCTCTACATATTACAACCCCCAAGGTATTATATTATCATATGGCTATTATATTTGTTGAAAATACTAACCCAATTTGATTTTTCTTGCATTAACACAAGTGTGACATTATTGAGTCATTTCCTGTAGTTTTAAGATTCATTAAACAATCAAGGTGACAGCCGTGCATAATAAATAGCAATGTTACACAACAATAACACAATTAATAGCACAAACAATTGTGATAAAAACCCTTGTAATATCCTGCTATACAGAGTGAGGCAGTATAACAGAGAACACAAGCTACAAAATTAAATTCACTGCAAAGAGAGACAAAATCACATTTAACACAAAAAGTCCCATGAAGCTTGAACAAGGACTCGAGGGCACTGAATGTGCTGTGTGATAGCCATCAATACAGCCAGAGAGCCCCCCACTGTTTACTACTACATGACTGTGATACATTGAGCCAATGGACAACCAAGAGACACAGCAGGAGTACTCAATAGTAAAGACATCAAACTTTTCTCTGTGACATTCCCTAAAAGCAAAGCCAGCATGTGACATATCACAGTTTAATGGATTATTTTCTATGGGCTGTGTGACTCATGATTGTGAGCCTTTCTATTGGATTTCTTGTAGAAAGTGAAATTGATATGATAGGCAATGTCCAAGGGGTGAGATATGCTGTTCTTGTCATGAAAATAACATCTTTACGGTCATATTTTCCCCATAAAATTTGCTTACAAAAAAAAAAAAAAAAAAAA